GCGTGCGTGCGTGCGTTGGGGTGGAGACGCGGGTAGGCAATGCAAGTCTGTTCTGTCTGCCCGTCCGCCTGCCTGCCTGCCAGCCTGCCTGTCTGTCTGGCTAGATATTATCCAGCAGCAGGGTGTGTGTGTGTGTGCGTGCGTGAGAGCGTCAAGAGAGGAGGGTGCATGTGTGTGTGTGTGTGTGGGATGGGACGTTCGTTGCCCAGGCCGTAACGTACATTCTACATGGAGCATGCACGCACACCACACACACACGGGGAGCACGGTAAGGAATAGTACGCACGTTACTTTGCATGTATATTGCCTGTCTATGTATGCATGTACCTGCCTGTGCGCGTAGGTACTGTGCGCTGCAGCCGCTGTAGAGGAACCCTCCCTCCTCCCGTGTGTGCGACCGCGTCGGAAGTATGTGTATGTATGCGGCACGCGCAGGTTGCAGAGGGTGGGGGGGGGGGAGTGGGCGCTGCGGTACGGTGCGGTCGTGTGTCGGTGCCGTTGACGACGGGGACGGCGAAGGGGACGACGACGGAGGACAGAGGTGGTGTGGACAATTGATGGAGGATTGGGTGGATGGATTGATGGATGGATAGATGGATGGATGGGTGGGCGGCTGGGCTACGGGTTAGATGTTCCATGACGAGGAGGGAGGGGGGATGGGGAGCGAAGGGAAGGGAAGGGACGGGGAGGGGAGGGGGAAGGAAAGTGGCACCCGAGGGCCCGTACCCAGCGGCGAGTGCGTGCGTGGTGAGAGTGATGGGGGGGAAGGGAAGTGAACAGCTCATCATCACATTCGAGTCGGGCGGATATCGTGGGTTCCGGGTGGGCGAGTTTGATGATGATGGAGGAGAGGGTGAGGTGCCAGGTTGCCTCGATGATTTATTAGTGGGCAGAGGTTTTCGTTAGTGGATGATGCGCTGTCGCAGCCCGAACAGCCGCCCCGTCCCCCATCAAGGGTCCCCCCCGGCACCACCTGGGCACCTACCTGGGCACCACGTCGTCCATTGACCGATGCCCCCACCCGCTGTAGGGACTCCCTGTACCTAGGGTCGATGAGCTGTCCTGTCGTCGGTCCGGCGGGCGGGCTACTACTGCACTGCGGCCGCGGCCGCCACTGCTGCTCCATCTGCTCTGCTGCTGCATGGGTGAGGTACAGGTGGCGCACTGCAGCCTCTCCATCATCACCCATCATCAACGACATCCCACTCCCGTCATCACCCTCGCGACACTCGTAAGCCTCCCCCCAAAAAAAACCCTTCCACCATAAACTTCACACCCATATCTTATCAAAGAAAGAACGTGCCCAAGTCATTACATATAGTGCCTTCATGTGCATCTTGAGGCCGTCATGCCTGCGCTTAAACCTCTGCTGCCGCATTGTACCTGAATGTATGGGCTACCGCGGGCGCGTTAGGCAGTCAGTGCAGTGCAGTGCAGTGCAGCAGTGTTGAAGGGATGGAGGCTTTAGTTGGGAGGGTTGGCGTGCCAATGTAGGTCGGGTGTTTTCTTTAGTTCGCGCGCAAAAACACTGGGCGGGTTTGTGAGTCGCGCGCGAACTCCAAAACCCTCACGAAAACCGTGAATGGGCTGTGCTGAGAGGCATCGCGTTTGGAACGACCACGCACAACTCGCCCGTGTGCTCCTGACGGGAATCGCATCCTCGCCTGCGGTAGAGCGCATGCCCGCCTGCCGTGCCACGCAATACGCCCCCGCGGTCCGTCCGATGCCTCGCCAGGCGGCATCCATGACTGCCTCCGTTCACGCTACATAAATCCGTCTACGTATCCATCCACGGGGGTATCGAGCGTAAAGAGGGAACATAAGGGGAAGAAGCTCGCGGCAAACGATCGAAGCGCGCACCAGGCCAGCGGCATCGCCATGCCCGAGCCGCCGCATCCGAGCCTCCCCAAGGCCGCCTACCCGGTCCACGCCGCGCGCTTCGACCCCTGGAACTCGTCGTCGACGGGCCACCAGCGCGGCGACCGCCGGCCGGGCACGTCGTGGCGGGATGCGCGCACGCGCAAGGTCAATGCCCAGTTCCGCGGCGGCGGCGGCGGTGAGGGCAGCGGTGGCGATGGTGATGTTGGAGCCGGAGGTGCGTCGGGGGGACAGCAACTGCCGTTTGGCCACGGGCAGCAGCGCAGCGTGGCGGATATGCTGGCCCGGCCGGGCCTCATGCGGGAAGCCATGGAGCAGCAGGGCAGCGGCGGCTTGAAGACGAGCCGCGGCGTGCTCGCTGCTACGAGTACCAGCAGCACGGCTTCATGTGCGGCCGGAGACAGGCGGCGGCAGCAGCAGCCGGCAATGGCGATCCCGGCAACGACAACGAAGACGGCCGGGGATGCCGGTACGGACAGCCGCACCGGAGACATCCCGCCCGCGTTCAAGGAGAGCGGCGGCGGCGGAGGCATCCTCGCCGGCGTGGTCGCATACGTCAACGGCAGCACCTACCCGCTCGTCTCGGACCACCGGCTGCGGCAGCTCCTGGCCGAGCACGGCGCCTCCATGTCGCTGCACCTCGGCCGCCGGCGCGTCACGCACGTCATCCTGGGCCGCCAGGCGTCGGCGGGCCGCGGCGCCGGCGGCGGCCTGGCGGGCGGGAAGCTGGAGAGGGAGATTCGCCGCGTCGCCGGCTGCGGCGTCAAGTATGTCGGCGTGGAGTGGTGAGCTTCGCCCCCCTCCCCCCTTGAATGCCTCCTATCATCCCTCCAAATGTGGGTTGCACACGTATGAGACGAGGCACATGCGCAGAAGAGGATGGGCACGTATATGAGAAAATGAGACGCCGTGGCTGACTTTCAGCAGGATCCTGGAGAGCATCAAGGCCGGGAAGAGGCTCCCCGAGGCGCGCTTTGCGACGTTGAAGATTGCGCCCCAGGCGCAGGCAAGTGTCTACGGGCTGTTTTCCGGACGAGACGCCGCGGGGCCTCGTACAGGAGCCTGATGGCTTCCACGGCCGACTGATAATAATCAAGCTGCTAACGATCCGCATCTGGTAAGAACGGAGGCGCTTCTGGTAGGGATATGATCACTAGGACAGGGGGCATTCCACTCAGGGAGTGTTTTGGCGAGATGAGCAACCTTCCGATGGCACTTTGTCAGGCGTTTATTGGGCTACGAGGGACTAGATGTCACGCGCAATGCATTTCGGGCGGTGTTTTGGTAGCCCCTAGGGGAATCATTCTGGGTTTACATCGAGGGGCTCACGCCTTTGTCACATATAGATAACTCGCGGTTCACACCGCTCCTGTCAATTAACTCATTCTCATGCAAATCGTCTTTCAAATCCTCACCATCTCCTAATATCTATGCGCGCCTGGCTCCAGCGCGTGTTGGGCATCTAAAGCCCCGATGAAAATCCCCTCTCCGCACCGAGCTCGTCTCACCGCGAGCCGTCAACGCCGTGCCCTTTGGGATATGTTATAGATTCGCGGTCACGGGGCCTATTCGAAAAGCCTAGCGTGCCGGCCGTGTGTGTCCTGCCACCGTCGCCCAAGACACTCTATCCCCTTCACCGACGTCTCACAGCCCCCTTTTCCCCTCACCCCTTTCGATGCGACAGGTCAAAAGCCTCACCGCCGGGCGTGAAGCTCGCACCGCCGCCACAGCCGACGCCCAACTTTCTCACGGGCTCACGGGACCATACGGGAGACTGAAGGAGCTGCTCTGTCCGGAGCCTGATTCAGCCCATTTTATTCGTGACGGGGGTACGTGAGTCCGAGACGCTCAGAGCGTCGGGAGCTTCTTTCTCGGATTTTGCGCACTCGGGAGCAGTGTGAGCTCACGGCGAGATATGTATTCCCTTCTTCTACCTAGGTGAAGGGGAATACGAAAACACAGAAGGAATGTCACACACGCATAGGGAAACCCTCCTCCCGACGGAAAAGCCCTGCACAAGGCTCGTGGCGAGATCGCACCAAGAGTCCCACGACGCACGTCATCAAACCGGCATCTCTGCACAAGCCAGATCGTCCTCGGCACCTAACAACACGAAAGCAATGAGAACACGGATAATCGTGGGTGTGCGCAGAGAGACCCCGCCGCCTCCGGGACGTAGCAGCGGGACCGAAACACGCCCGCCGCGCGAGGCTGAGAATGGGAGACGATGAAGCTTGAAGGGCCCTGGTGGGAGATATGTTGCCGTCAAAGGAGGGCGGCAAGGCGGTGATGGGTGGGCACATATGAGGGCGGAGGACGCGGCGGGTTGCGATGAAGCAGCGGTAAGCGTGGCTTGGGCCTTGAGTCTTCCAGCGTTCGCCCGCACCGGAGGAATGCCATGTACACACCTTGTGTTACTGACTCTCGAGCCCATTTGCCCTGCCCTTCTTGTGCCCGAAGAAATGCAGCCGCCTCGGCCGGCTTGCTCTGGCATCAGGGGCTGGGGGATGTACCCCTGGCAGGGAAACGGTCTTGGAAACAAAACATTCCCGTACGCAATATAAAACTTTATGTGTTTTTACGAACCGAAGCAAAACGTTTCGGAAGGACTCTAGTGTGGCTTCATATCGAACAGCTGCCACCAGACGTCGCCGCTCAGCGGGACAACAACCACCCCTCGTTGAAGAGTATCCAAATCAGGCAGCCCACTCTGCTTGCTATTTACAACCCAGCCCTCTCACGAGCGCCCGCCGCGTCGACACTCATAGCTTCGCCTTGGCTCTCTCCTCGACCGCGCCGTGCCTAGCCCCATGCGTCTCAAAGTACTCTCTGACTTTAGCCCTCGCGACCTCGACGACGCCCGCGTCCTCGACGGTGCTCGGCACGGCGACGGGCTTGTCAAAGTCGCCGTGCACGGCGTTGTCGACCAGCTCGCGGAGCACGCGGCGCAGCGTCTTGCCGGACCGCGTCTTGGGGATCATGCCCTTGCCCTGGACGATGCCGCCCAGCGAGGCGATGGCGCCGACCTGCTTGCGCACCAGGGCCTGGATCTCCGAGGCCACGCGTTCGTCTGGCACTGCCGACGTGGGGTGGTCGGGCGTCGACAGGGTGATGAAGGCGAAGGGGAGTTGGCCCTTGATGGCGTCGGGGATGCCGACGACGCAGGACTCGGCGACGAGAGGGTGCGATGCGATGGCTTGCTCGATGCCGCCTGCGTACGGGTCAGTGGTCAAAACTGGTTGTTTTCCTTATGGGCCAGGGTAGAAAGAATACTTACCACTCGACAGGCGATGAGCGCTCACGTTGAGCACGTCGTCGTTTCTGCTCATGACGTGGACGTAGCCATCCTCGTCGATCCATCCCGAGTCGCCCGTGTCGAGCCACTTGCCCCGGAACCTCTTCAGGTAGCTCTTGTAGAACCTCTCCTCGTCTGCCCAGAGGGTGCGGAAGCCAGTCGGGGCGAGGGGCATGCCGAGAACAATGTTCCCCATGGTTCCTTTAGCCACCTCGGCCCCGTCGTCGTCCACGATCCGGATGTCGAAGCCCGGCATCGCCTTGCCCGCGCTCCCGGGCTTGAGCGCAGGCGGCGGGTGGTCTCGGGCCGTGGTCTTGCGGTCGTGACCGGCGTGAGGAACGAGGGCTCGGCCGGTAATGGGCGAGCCGGCCTCGGTTGACCACCAGTTGTCGATGACATGCGCCGATGGGGCGCCATACTTGGTGAGGAGCTCTTGATACATGGAGATGAGGGTCGGTTCGGAGCGCTCGCCGGCGAGGAAGAGGGCCTTGAGTGAGCGCAGCCCGCCCCGCTCGCCAATCTGTGAGAGAGACTTGTTCTCCGGGTCGTCTCGCTTGATGGCCCGCAGGGCCGTGGGCGCGGTGAACATCATGTTGACCTTGTACTCCTCGACGACCCTCCAGAACGCCGACGCATCCGGTGTGCCCACAGGCTTGCCTTCGTATAAGACGGTGGCAGCGCCGGCCAGCAGCGGGGCGTAGACAATGTAAGAATGCCCGACGACCCAGCCAATATCCGACGCGGTAAAGGCAACATCCCCAGGTCCGTGGATGTTGAAGAGGTAGCTGATGGAAAGATGCAAGCCAACGGCATGCCCTCCCGCATCCCTCAGCACACCCTTGGGAGCGCCCGTCGTGCCAGACGTGTGGATGATGTACACGGGGTCGCTGCTCTTGACGGGCACGCAACCCGCTCTGACGCCCCTCGCCCTCGCGCTCTTGACCACCTTTTGCCATGTCGCCTGGCCCTGGCTGCGGTTGGTGGGGTTCCAGCGGATCTGGTCGCGCTGCCAGATGATGGTGCGCGGGGGCTTGTGCTTGGCGAGGGAGATGGCCTCCTCGACGAGCGGGCGGTAGGCGATGGGCGGCTTGGTGCCGTCGATGCCGCACGACGCGGTGAGCAGGGCGACGGGCTGGCAGGCGTCGATGCGCTGGGCGAGGGCGTTGGGGGCGAAGCCGCCGAAGACGATGGAGTGGATGGCGCCGAGGCGGTTGACGGCGAGGATGCCCATGACGGCGGCGGGGATCATGGGCACTGTTGGTGGTCGAGCGTGGTTAGTTCGTCATCGACAGCATTCACTATTTGTGATAGAGAAGAGCAATCCAACTCACTGTACAACATGACGACATCGCCTTTGCGCACGCCCTGTTCCCTCAACGCCCCCGCCAGGACCTCAACCTCATCGAGCAGTTGGCTGTAGGTGTAACGTTCCTTGGTGCCGGTCACGGGGCTGTCGTAAAAGACGGCCACCTCGTCGCCATTGCCGGCCTCGACATGGCGGTCCAGGCAGTTGTAGCAGGTCGAGATTTCGCCGCCGGGGAACCACTCCCAGCTGTCGTGGGTGACGCCGCTGCCGCCGGCAAGCGTGCGCTTCGTGCGGTGCAACGTGGCCGTCGGCTTGGTGTGCCACGAGAGATGCCCCGCCTGGTGCGCCCAGAACTGCTCGGGCTTGTCCAGGCTGAGGCGCAGGACGTCGTCTTGTATGTGCGGCATGGTGGTAAATGTGCGGCGAATCCTCAGAGCGCGGGCAGTTGAATGAGTGGCGTAGACCAGAGGGGCGCTCAACGCTCAGTTCACTTGGTCACTGATCTAAAAGGGACCTCTGCGCTCCGGGTGTATATGAGGGTATTTATGAGACGAGGGCCGCGTCGATGTCAGGGAGGCTCGCGATGAGCTTATCCTCGGTTATGCACGTGGCGTCGGTGAGAGAGAGGTGAGAGTGAGGTCAGAGCTGTCGCACTGAGAGTGAGGAATTGGGACGCGGCAGAGCTCTGGTGGAGCTTTCCCCAACAACGGCAGAGCTTGTCCCTCCCCCTGGCCAGGGTCCAGTGTTCGTCGCAAAGTTCACTCCAGGGCGGGGACCCCGCATCTCCCGTCTTTCCGTTTCCCCGGGGGGGCCATCAATCACAAATGCCGACCCAGGCCGACGCCCGAAGCCGACGCCCGGCTTGCAGTCCTGGACCAAAGGGCACGGCAATGCAGTTGAGACAAAGGGGGTTTTGGCTAGCGACGTGGAAGCCCGTCCATCCAGGAACCATAATTGTCTATTAAGTTAATGCCAATGTGTGGATGTCTGGTGTGTGTGACAACATGGAGCCCGCATCAGGTGATTGATGTAAACCGTCTTAATTCCATGCCTCACTGCATCCATCCAAGATTCACACTACGTACCACTGAACATTTTTCCAGAAGCCGACGGCCTCGAGCCTCAACAGCAATCCAGGTGCCCGCAAAGGCTGCCTTGTCGTGGCATCAAAGCCCGTGGCTGACTGCCGACTCCACAGTTCAGACTTCGATAGAGCTGGGCTGTTATGGTGTCGCCGGCTGAACCGCGAGCGCTGTTTACACCCAAGAGCAAAGGGCGACATACTAAACGTTCAGCAAAGCCGTGAGCCGCAAGCCTCGCATCTCAGCTTCCAACAAGGCAGGCAACTACTGAAAACAAAACAATGGGGACTAGGGGTCAGAGCCACCATACGTGTTGGACGTCCGTGCGACGCAGGCAACCCCTGAGAGGTCCTCCTTGTAATGCAGTAGCCACCACTCACTGGCTGCCTTTACAGGAGACACCTGGATCGGCTGCTGTGAGGTTATTGTAACTGGATGTTCATCAAGGAAACCGGTAATTCAAGCAGTCACATATGCGTCTGCATCTTCTAATGGCCGACATCTTCGGGGACATGAGACTCACCGTCCGTCTCCTCAAGACGCCCACTTCATCGCGTCTTAGGTTGAAGAAGCATATTTTACTCAGAGACCATCAAGCCATGGCCGTGGGACTCGGATAATACAGTCGCATGTGTGGCTTCGATACTGGCGCACTCTACCGCATACCATACAGTCGAGGGCGTCCTGCCAAGACCATCGAGGGAGGGGGGGTGTGGACTTATGTGCAAAGGTATTGATCGTGTCCTGCGTTTATGATTCTCCATGGATCTTCATGCCCCGTTTCATCATATTGTGAATCGACTCATCCTCACTTCAATACGTACAAATGCTCTTCCAAGCTGTCCTGATCGCCACCGGCGTCTGGAGCGTCCTGGCTCCATGCTACGCCCTCGAGGCCGAGACTCGCGCCCCCGGACCTGGCCGGCTGGCCGTCTACTGGGGCTCGGAATCCGGTAGCACCACCCTCGACGACGTCTGCAGCGATAGCTCCTATAACATCGTCAACCTGGCATTCCTCAACTACTTCTTCAGCGCCGGCGGCTATCCCGCCACCTCAATTGGCGACCTCGGGGGCCCTTCCACTGCGCAACGCGAGGCTGGAGCGACCGGCCTGCAGGACGGCTCATCGTTGATCTCTGCGATGAAGGCGTGTCAGTCTGCTGGCAAGCTTCTCTTTCTCTCCCTCGGCGGAGCCAACAGCTACGCTGATGTGACGCTCGACAGTGACGCGCAGGGCGAGCAGATGGCAGACACGCTGTGGAACCTGTTCCTCGGAGGGGACAGTGCACTTCGGCCGTTTGGCGACGTCAAGCTTGATGGCATTGATCTTGGTATGACCTCCCAACCGGACACTGCAATGTGCCACGGTCTAAACTAACACTGCACAGACAACGAATCGAGCGACCACACAGGCTATCTCGCCATGATCCGACGTCTCCGCTCGCACTACAGCTCCGACAGCAGCAAGGCGTACTACCTCTCCGCCGCGCCGCGCTGCTCCTTCCGCGAAGCCTCGCAGTGGCTCGACGTATACCGCCAGGCGGACCTCGTGTGGGTGCAGTTCTACGGCTGCGGGCAGTCGAGCGTCGCGCAGCGCAGCTTCGCGGAGGCCGTCGCGAACTGGGCCGGGGGCATCGGCGGAGCGCAGCTCTTCATCGGGGCGCTGGCCAGCGGCGACGACGACACCGGGGACACGGCGGGCTATGTGGACGCGAACACGCTGGTCGCGTCTGTCCAGAGCGTCAAGGGGATGGGGTTGGGGAACTATGGGGGCGTGATGCTGTGGGATGCGCAGCTGGCGGTCGATAATGGGAATTATCAGAAGCAAATTGCAGGGAGTGTGTAAGCCGCTGCTGTTTTCGTATATAGGTGATAGGGTCGCTGTGGATTTGAAGCAAGGTGGTTTCTGGTCAGTCACGCTACGAAGCGGGTCAACGACGATGACACAACTGGACGTCACCACGAGCCATACCCTGCCTGGCAGACGTTCCTGCAACTTCAGAAATTCATCGCATCAATACGCACAGCTAGATACAGTATGTCTAGCTTCCCATGTCTGCAACTATGTCACGGTGTCGGTGGAAGGGTGGCTGTGTTTCCCCCATGCTGCGGCAGTCGACGTGCGAGGTGTAGGTACCAAAACTAATTATCCTTGCACGGGCCCATCGAACTCGACTTTTTCTGTCTTAGTATTCCTCAGATATAGTTCTGGGTATAATTTTGGCCTCGTTAGCACATGTCTTAACCCATGGCAAGTCGGGGTGTTTTGCATTCGTTGAGGTTTGTCTGGATAATTGACCTCGCCACATCCTATGAGATCTCCAGGTATTTGGACAAAAGTCAAGAAATAAAGATTCAGCAAGTGAACATGCCTCTTCATGTAAATATCGATACTGTACCACCATGGGATGGGGAGCCCAAGGTAACAGTTGTCAAGCCATGCACAAAGTTGTCAAACGACATATCCAGGGTAGGTCACTTCAACTGCAAGCATCCCGAACTAGCATCACAACCAGCACCACGCAGCCGCCATCTCACGAGTCAAGACGAAACGAAACACCAACGCCCACGGCGCCACCCTCCCCACAAGGACCCCGTACAAGTCCGTACCTGCAAGCGCAAGCGCAAGCGTAGACGCTCAACGCCCTTGCATACTTCGCACAACCAGCAGCACTGTCATGTACCACTGTACGTACTCGTACCGTTATCGCACCCGATGCGTCGGTTCTTCGTCCAAGCTCTCTCTCTCTCTCCTCCCTTGATCCCCCCCGCTGCGGCTGGGCCAGCCAGCCGGCCGGCCGGCACTCACTTTCACCTTCACTTTGGAATGCTCACCCCCTCCACCACCCATTGTTCGTTCGTTCGTCGCATGTCTCGCGGACACGGTTCTGGCTAGCTAGCTCCCGCCCACCACGCGCTACCGCCGCCGCATCGAAACAGAAAAACACAAGCACAACGAACGGCCCTGAAAGCTAAATCTGACGCGCTCCTCGGCATATCGCTGCCGACCTACGTACGTACGTACGTACGCAAGCAGCGAGAGCGTACATCCTACAAAGTGCATGTACGGCCGTTCGTCCGTCAGGGCAATACCGCCACCACCAAAGTAAGCGCCTGTGTGCACACAACCTCGCCTCGTCATTCCTCCCTTTGCCAAAAACCCACCCGGATCTGTCCCCGTCGTCCACCCGCCGGCCGCTTCGTACGAGTGCGCCCCTCGTACAGAACCGCACCCTGCCCGGCCTCGGCTGGCTCCTATAACATTCACGAGTGACCGCCCCGCCTCTCGCTGAAAGTTAAAAAAATCCGGAATCAAACGTCAAGGGACTTCAAGGGAGGCAGACCCGTGGAACCGACCCATCCCCGCCGCCGCCGCCGCCTCCCTTTTTTTTTTCTCTACGCCTCTCGCTATGCTTCAGGACAAGCCCGCGGCCAAATCTCGCTTGCCCGAGGCGAGGCGAAGACCCCCCCTCCGCCCTCCCCTTCCATCTAACATCGCGTCAGGCCCATCAGACGGGTGCACACACCTTCTCGTGCACGACCTCAGCCCCCCCTGCCACTTCGTCCAGAACCCCCCCATCTCGCGTCGAGTTGCTTGCTCATGGATGGATGGGCGCGTGCGTCTTGCTGCCGCTGGCTGCTGCTGCTGCTGTTGTTATTCCGTCTGCCCTTGCGTCCCTGGGCCAGGCCCCGCCCACCTGTCATGTAGCACTCCGACCGTATATTTGCCCCGTCTGATACGTCTGTACGGCCGAGTCAAAAGAAGAGACGTGCGCGATCGCCCTCACGCTCGCGTCATCAATCGGCGGGATCTGCGAAAGCAACATGAACCGCTGAACCGTGTTGGTACGCGCGCGCATGTCGTGAAGCTTGGGCCAATGCAGGCAACCTGATACGCAGGCAAGACAAGTCTTGTCGCTCCTCGCATCCCGTAATTCTAGACGTGCTGTGTTATGCGGGCAAGGCGGGGTGCACTCCCACTGTATCGGAAACAACAAAGTCACACGCTTGCAGAGGCAGAACATATTACACCGTCATCACATTCGACTATGTACACAAGCACGCACGCGCTAGGCATCATGGTTTTACAAACGCCGGACCAAAACTGATCTCCCGGCAATGCTTGTCTCTGCTCGTCTGCACGTAGTAGTAGCTGCTACATACAGGAGAGCACTGTCAAACACTGTCTGTGCCTTGACCAGAGACCATAAACACGTCCGACAACCAAGACCAGTCCCCGCGTCTGCTCCGTGCTTGTGCAGCACCGCGGATGGAGCCGGGGCACGAAAAGAAGGTGACTGACAGACCGCGAGGAGTGTCGTCGCGAATAGTCGGAGTGGGAAGTGCTTCTCTTTTCTAGGTACTTGTCGGGCAGGGCAGGGCGACTGCGAGGCAGAGCTCGAAAGCTGGTGACAGGACGAACCCGAATGCCGGTTGCAGAAAAGTGAGGCACATTATATTTCCCAGCGCCGAATATAAAGACCACACACACAAGTCTTGTCGGACCTGAGTGTTTTCCCCTTTCGACCGTCGACAAATGAAAAAAGGACCATCGGTCTCCGGATCTCCAGGTCGCGTATGTTCGTATCCCAAAGTCTATACATCCGAAGCAAACCGTTTCATCCCCTGTGCGTAAACCAACGGGTTCAACTCTCCCACAACGCTCTTCCAGCTCATATCTGGACAAGGCTCCCACGACTCAGGTATTTATCGAACAAAAGAAATCGTAGGTGAGGCGTGGATCGCGAGGCGTGATAGTTGGTGGATTTACAGGACGAAAGCGGCAAGACCGACGATACCGGCCAGGCCAGCGCCGGTGAGGGCGGCGGCCTTGCCAGCACCAGCAGTGGGGACGGCAGTGGGAGGGACAACGGGGGTGACGCTGCCAGTGCCGACCGGGGGAGGGACGGCAGTGGAGGGAGCACCAGTGGGGGCGGTGCTGTTGGTGTAGCCACCGCTGTTGCAGGCGTTAGTTGCGAGATAACTTGACTTGATCGGGAGTTGAGCGACTTACCAGGTGTTGCAGGCAACAGAGGAGGTGGTGATGACCGGCTTGGTGATGGTGCAAGGGCAGTCGGTGATGGTCAGAGTGGTGGGCTAGAGAGGGCGACAGTTAGCATTCGGTGTCTGTCAAGGCGGCGCGAGGCTGGCGGTTGATCGAGCAGTGGTGTTTGTCGTGCCGCATCAGGAGGTGTCGAGAGGCGCGGCTCGTCGCGACGATCCCGCGCCTGATGCGTCCCCAACACCACCCCAGATCGACCGCCGCCTCGTGGGAGTCGCGAAATCGTACCTCGGTGACAGTGTACGTCTTGGTGCCGTGGGTGATCTCGGTGGGAGCCGGGCAGTAGGTGGTGTACACGTCAACGACCTCGGTGACGACCGTGGCGTTGCCCTTGTAGTGGGCAGAGGCGCCAGCAGCGGCGGCGAGGACGACGGCAGCGGTGAACTTCATCTTGTCGGTATTAAGAGGTTACTCGGCGAGTAGCTGATTAGGTTGTTGTATTAACGAATGTAATTGACTGAAAGTCAGGTAGCGGATGCTGAAGCGAGTGTGGTGTGTGGGTGAAGGGGGAAAGGAAGAGAAGTTCAGAGAGGGGGCCAGGAGGCGAGGAGCTTTATACCAAGGATGCCTGCACAGTCGGTTCGCGCACGCGGCGGCGGGAGAGTCCACACGACACGGACAGACCCATGGCCCATGGGGGGGGTGGTGAGCGACGACCCATCCGTCCATCGGTCCAGTCCATCCATCGTGCCAGGGAAGGGGCAGCAGACATGTCGACGGGGAACGGACGGCAGGGCCGTGAGAACGCCTCTGCAGGGGGGTGGCCGTGGACGTGGGTACGAAGCCGACGTGGGAAGTTGGAAGAAGTGGACTGCGGAGTGTGGGTGGAAAGGAGAAAGGGGGGGCGTGTGTGGTATGGGTGGTGTGGAGGGCGTGCGCCTCCCAGCCTGAGCTGTGGTGGGTGGGCGGGCCAGACGCCAGGCACGGCGGGCTGCCGGCCACACCTGGCAGCTGGCGGCGGCGGCGGCGGCGGTACGAGCCCTGGAGGAGCTTGCCGTGAGATGGCATGAGGTGCCCATTGTGCCGTGCGTGGGCAGGTACAGTAGCATTTGGCAGTGGATCATTGTAGGTACGTTTTCCGCTGGCGGACTGTGGCCGCGGCTGCTGCTGCCGCTCCCCTCTCCTTTCTCGTGTCTTTTTGCAGCGAGAGGGGCAGGGCACGGCAGCCGCCGAAAGGAGCAGACACACTGACTGACTGTCAGATCCCAGGACCAGAAAAACACACAACAACCTGAGCAGGGGGAAAACAAGCCGTGCGCGCATCTGAAGATTGGCCGGCGCCAGCGGTCTGATGCGAGATTAGCCCGCCGAGATTTAGCGTGGTACGCGTTACGAGATGGCCGGTACATGCTAGCGCCGCCAAGCAACGGCGGCACCGCAGGTACCGCGCAGCGAAGGCGCCCTGGTCGGTCGCTGCTGTGCCTGAGGTTCGCACTCTCTGCACCTTTTAGCCTCGATCCATTGTTTGTTTGCCATGCTCTCCGCCGCTGCGTCTGGCCATTGTTGGTCCTTGGAATCCGCATTCCTCGCTCGCCGCCCCCGCCTGACTTGACTGGCTGCGGACGGGTATGCCGCACTTCTGCGTCTGTTTTTGGCCGTGCTCCTCCCCCGTCTCTCTGGCCTCACTCCGGGCGAAGCATCCGTACAAAGGAACGAGCCTGATGCCTGCCAGCCTGCCTGCATGGGAGGACTCGTATCGCATTATCGCACAATCATCTCAGCAGTCCGCGGTGGCAAATCACCACCCCCGGCAAAATATCCGTTCAGGCGCGCCAGATCGGACGAATTGGCGGGCGCCTCTCGTCGCATCCATGGCCCGACATCCCCGTCGCCCGTCCCCCCTACCGTCGCTGCCGGGGCGTGGCGTGGCTCGACGGCAACAAGACTCACACTTCTTCATCAGGAGGGGAGAGACCCGTGGCGGGTGACTTATTACTGATCCGTCATAAACAGCAGCTGCAGCATCTGGCTGGACAGACACGGGCTGGTGAGGTGGACAGTGGCCCGCCCTGCGCTCCGTCTGCACCGCTGCCAGATTGCAACCCTCTTTCCCGCTGTCATCCGCTTTCTGCTCTCGAGCCGCGCACGAGGCGAGGAGCCGTTGCCGACTCCCTGGCCGCCACGAAGCAAGCCCATGCATGCCCTGTCCTCCCCAACCAACGTGGACGGCGGGCAGCAGCACGGCAACACGCGAGAGCCCCTTGTCCAGCGACCGCCTGTCACCGGACACGAGAACGCAGGCCGCTGACTGAGGGCTCCATGGGGCTCGTACAGGCATGCCAGCAGCCTCTCTCGTGCTGCCGGCGCTGCCAACAGCTGGCGGTGCACCGTCCACAATCGGTCCGCCCGCCGGCACACCCAGCATCACTGCCACTGGCTTGGCTGGCTCGACTTGGCTAATGGGTGCGCATGCTTCGGCGCTAATGCAGGAACCAAAAGCCTGTCGGCGGTGGCCTGCGCGGCAAACGCCCTCGCGAGCGGTCCGATGCGCGCGCATTGCATAAGAGGCTTCTGGCGCTTTTTCCTGCGGCAGCACACATCACACAGCGCCTTGCTGCCTGCCTGCGCGTGCTGCACCACAACGCGCTGTCAAACGTCGCTGCGTAAAGAGCTCGCAGAGCTGCAAACAACTTGGGCGACATGACATGCAAGCTCGAACCGGTCGACGGGTGCTGGCGGCCCGCAGCGCTCGTCGAATGGGGGAATCTGGGGCATCCACGGTACGTACCAACGTTCCGAGCCAAAAACTGCACCTCTTTCAAAGTCTCCAAGAAGACTCGTTAGTTGAGGTGGGTAATGAGCCGCTTCCAGCGCACGGCACGCACTACTGAAGAGGACACTGCTGCGCGCTGGAAAAATTTCTCATCCACCCTTTGCGAGGGAGGAATACAGCTGGCTCGATGACGAGATGCTTTACCCGGCGCAAAGGCGGCGACGTCCTTGGTCAGGGGCCTTCCGGGTGCCTGCACCTATCATTGGCGGAGCGGCACAATCCGCGCTCCGACTCAGGGCAGGCTAGCCCGCCGCTTTTGGGACGCCGCCAAGGTCGGACGACGGCACTGTCCTTGGACGCTGTGGCAGCGCTGGTTCGCACCACTCATCCACTGTGAGGAAGCAACCTTGGAGCACCTTTGGTGGGCGGCAGGCGTCAGCTCCCGTCCAGCGCTGTCATCAGTTGGCAGCTGCAGGTCGGTACCTCCAGGGCTAGCCACTGCGACCACCCCCCGCGCAACCATCCGGCGGCGGGCGTGCCTCCAACGATCCGGCCCAGTACCTTCCCTGGGCACCTTGGCCGCCGCCGCCGAGCTGCTGGACTTGCCTGGGCTGCTGGGACATCCCGGCGGAGACCCTCTGCAATTTCCCAGGGAGCCATTGAAGCCCACCTACCGTGCCATTCGGGCCCACCTCACCACTCTGGGCTGGATCCACTGGCCATGCGGTGATGCTTCCCGATGCCCGGCGGCAAGGCACGAATGGACGAGCTGGAAGGCCTGCCCTGCCCTGTCCCAGCAAGCCGCTTCCCAGGTTTCTTCTCTTTTTCTTCCTTTTCCCCTACTGCTCCGTAATTGCTGTCCCATCTCGGCGCGCTCGTCAACAGCATAGCATTGGCCCGTCGCAAAGACCGGGCCAAGGAGGGAAATCTGACGGCCCCTTTGCCGGCATTCTCCCTTCTGGCCCCATGGGATGGCGATGATGCCCTGCCGGCCTCGTATCCCATCTCGGCTGCTTCTGAGAGAGAGAGAGAGCAAAAAACTCTGTTTCTGCTGCTTCTATTCTTGTCGACATTTTTTGGGTTGTCACGGCGTTCCGAAGAGTCATGATCGTCGCCCGCGCCCAGGGCAGAAGCCCACCGGTCCACACCAAAATTGCCCAGTTTAGAGTTCCACCCCGGCTGGGCTCTTTCGCCAATCCATCTCGATTGCGCTCGCACGAGATCCCGGATCAGTGATCAGGTTCGAATGATCAGTGATCTGCGAACCGAAGCTTGTCGTGCTCCGCGTCGGGCCATGCCACCGCGAGGGAGGGCGGCCCCAAGGCCATTGGCCCACGGGGGGCCCGGGCATAGCCTTGCCGGCGGGTGCCTTTTCGCTATCTTCAAGCTTTCGGCTGGCGGCTTGGCTTGCCCGGGGTGCCTGCTGGTCTGTCACCTGTGCTCTGCTCTGCTGTGCTCTGCGCTCTTGTCTAGTGTCGGTATCGGGGAAGAAAGGGGCCCGGGCGACATTGGCATTGGCACGGGCATGGTTGGCGGGGACTGAAGAAGAGGAGGAGCTTATCGGGCGTGTCTTTGGCGAAGCGACGACCGACGATTGTTGACGAAGGAGCTTGTCGACAACGGGCTCTTATCACACCCGCCCCCTCCCGCGCACATCTCCCTTGCTCGGGGTCCGTCAGCGCTCTCTGGCATTCAGTCCTCTTTCGTCGACTACGACTAAGATAGTCCCAAGATACGCGTGCATCTTGGTAGTACGTAGTAGTACGCGTCGGGCCATGGACACACCTGCCTGCTCTGGTCACGGCTATTCTCATTAGCCCGTGTTATCAGTGACCAACAACGAGCCACCAGCAGCAGTTGTTCATAATACTCCGGCACTCTTAGTCACGGACGCGCGAGCGAGCGACGCGAGCGACAGCCGGGGGTCGCGCTCGAGCCAGCCAGCCATGCAATCCATAGTCTGTAGCACCCTGAGCAGGTGCTAGTTTCTGCTGCTGCTGTCAGCCCAGTCTTTCACCAGGACCAGGACGTCGCCGCCTTGCACCCTCGCGCGATCACTAATGAAGAACCGACTCACCACCTCTCGGCGGCGTCAGTCACGTCTGGCCAGGTTCCCTCTCGTCGCGGTCAACGAAAAAGGCACATCGGTCCGGCAGCGTTAGTGCCTTCTAGGTAGCCGGCTCTTCCGCGCCGCGCCGCATCGCCATGCCTGAGGTGCGTGCGTGCGTGCGTGCGTGCGTGGGATCCTGGCCTGGCTTAGCAGCACCTGGTCTCGGGAATGGAAATGGAAGCTTCCTCGTCTAGCGCAGGGCGGGCGCTCGCCGCCGCTGCGCTGCCACTGGGTCACGCCCCCCCCTTCTCTTCTTCGATGCCCCCAAATATTCCCCCCATTATACCCTCTGGCCCCCTCCGTGGCCCCCTCCGTGGCCCCCCTGTGCCTGGCTGGTCTGGTCTGTCTGTCCGTGTGTTGCCTGTCCTGTCCTGTCTGCATGAGGTGAGGCGGCGGCGCGAGGTCGTCATCCCTCATTTGCCCTTGTGCCCTCTGGTGCCCGCCGGCCTCCCGCTTAGGTACCGATAGTTGGGCGAGCCACGGTCGCGGGGGGGCTACGGGGGCCTGCTGGATGGGGCCTGTAATTTCCACTCACCGGAGTCCCAGTCGTCGACTGCGCGATCTCCCGTTCGTTCGGGGGCCGTCGGTCGCGCGGCACCAGAAGGATTTTTTTCCTTTTTTGTTTGTGATCCATCGAAAAAGGATGAAGAGAGAGCACGCCCGCTGCCCTGCATTGACGAGCGCAGATACTTGGCGAATCGTCGGCACCCAGCCAGCCAGCCAGCCGCCTCGATCACACGCCTCAGCCGTGCGCTGAGCTAACGCGGGATCCTCACTGGACTCGTCTTCCCGGCTCAGACCTGCCGCCGTGTGCCGGAGCTGCTGCTGGCTGCTGCTGCGCTGCGCTGTGTGACTCGCTGCCGCATGTGCCTGGCCTGCAGGCGTCGTACGAACAGGAACACGGCCAGCACGTCACAATCGAACGGCGGGGGCCCAAAACAGTTTCCAGGCACGGCGGCCCATAGCAGCGACTCACTCCACGGTGCCGCAGCCGCAATTGGGCCGCTACGCCGCACAGCTGGGGGAGTGACATTTCCCCCCCTTCCCCCTGCGCGCCGCCGCTGTGCCTGTGCCTGGCTGGATATGACGGCTGGTGAACGAGTCTCCGCCTGGAAGGGGGCTCATTTCCCCTTTCCGAGATCTAATTCTGGCTGATGAATCAGAAGGCGGCTATGGGCCAGAGCTTCGGAGCCTGGGCCAACCACCCCCATCATCACGCCCCGTCGACAACGAAGTCGTCGGCCAATGGCCCCCGTCTCACTCTTTTCCCCCCTCTCCTTGCCGCATGAAAGTGCCCCCTCCCCGTCATCTCGGCCCCGAGTCGTGACAGCTCGAATTGCTGTCGATGATTTGATGTCTTTGCTCCGCCGACACCCGCGGCACGTCCCGTGTCTTTGCCTGGGTGCGCTGAATGTGACGGGCGGGCGGGCTGTTGCTGCTGCTGCTGCTGTGTGCTGCAGGGTGGACGGGCTCTCTCGACGCTGGTGAACGCGCGTGACTCTTGGATCGAGCCAGCGGCCTGTTGGGGCGTTGGGTCGGACAGCAAATGGCGTCGCCGCCGCTGGTCGGGGTACCTAACTTGGGCCATCTGGCGGCGGCATAGCGGCGGCCGGCCCGCCTGACCGCCGCGGCGCCTGCGGAACCAGCACTCGGAGCCCTGGAACGTCCACGGGCGCGGCAGGTGCCTCGGCCGGCTCGCCGTGGGATCCGCCGCGAGTCCCGTGACTTACGGGCCTCCGCGCCCACGATGCCGCGGCGTGGCTGCGAACCACACAATGGATCTCTCCGGTACCGTGTCCTCAAGGGCTACGGTAAACCCGGCATTGAGTTTCGAGAGGCATGAGTCCAGCTTCTGCTAGTCTGGCGAGAGCGGAAGCCTCGGCGGATAGGCGGCGGCGGCGGCGGGGCTGACTAATGTCGTCATTGATGCCCGGCATATATGCTTTGGAAGTGCCGAGCCGACGTCGAGCTTCACGGAAAGACCAAGACCAAACGAGGGGTTTTGCCAAAGTAGCGCAAAGAGTGAATGAGATCATAGGCCATACCTAGCCACCGCTCACCTCCCGTATCGCTCGACGACTCCAAGACATGGCGACTATGAAGGCAATTGGTACGTCGGCGGCGCGCGCGTGGCTGACTTGAAGAAGAAGGAGCCCGCTCCAGGCTAACCCGCTGGGCTCTTCCCCTCCTCTACCGATGCAGACATCAAGGGCGGCAAGGGCGAGCGCGATGCGCTCTTCATGAACGCCGAGACGCCACGGCCGACGCCGGGTGAGGGCCAGGCGCTCGTCAAGATCAAGGCCTTCGGCATCAACCGCATGGACATCATCCAGCGGCGCGGCAACTACCCGCTGCCGCCGCAGGCGCCCAAGACGCTGGGCGTCGAGTTCAGCGGCGTCGTCGAGGCCTTCGGCCCGGGCGAGCACGGCGTCTTCAAGCAGGGCGACGAGGTGCTCGGGCTGGCCTACGGCGGCGCCTACGCCGAGTACATCGCCGTCAGCTCCAAGATGCTCATCCACAAGCCCCACGCCCTGAGCTGGGAGCAGGCCGCCGCCGTGCCCGAGACGTGGATCACCGCCACCCAGGCCCTGCACAAGGTGCTCGGCTTCGCGCGCGGCAAGTCCATCCTCTGGCACGCCGGCGCCTCGGGCGTCTCCATCGCCGGCATCCAGCTGTCCCGCCTGGCCGGCGCGTCCGCCATCTACGCCACCGCCGGCACCGACGACAAGTGCCGCTTCATCACCGACACGCTCGGCGCCACCGCCGCCTTCAACTACAAGACGGGCAACTGGGCCGACGGCGTCAAGGAGGCCACCGGCGGAAGGGGCGTCGACTTCATCGTCGACTTCGTCGGCGGCAGCTACTTCCAGCAGAACCAGGACGCCGCCGCGCGCGACTGCCGCATCGTCCTGCTGGGCACCCTCGGCGGCGGCAAGGTGCCCGACGCCGACATCTCGCAGATCCTCTTCAAGCGCATCCGCATCGAGGGCTCCACGCTGCGCAGCCGCGACGAGGACTACCAGGGCGAGCTGCGAGACAAGCTCGAGACGTACCTCCCCGACTTTGAGTCTGGCAAGCTCAAGATCATCCTCGACAGGGTGCTGCCGTGGGACCAGATCCAGGAGGCGCACAAGTACATGGAGGACGCCAAGAACTCGGGCAAGATTGTCTGCACCGTTTCCTGAACGGTGGGTGTGCGCGCGCGCGTCTGTGGTATCTTTTGGCCCTGAGTACAAGGACATACGATGACATGAAAATGAAACATGACAAGAAAACTTGTTGCCTTATGCAATGTTGCTCCCGCCCGTGAATAGCAGTGGTATAGTGAACGCGTCGCCAGTCAAACCCTCAATCCATCAGTGCTCCTGAATCCACTTGAGCATCTGTTCGTAGGCCGTTGCCTGCGCGTCGCTGATGGCGCTGTCTTGATATGCGCCCACCACGGCGAAGCCTGTTCTCACTCTGTCAGAAAAATGGCCTTCCACCCTGGGATAGACGACGAGTGAGCTTACCGTGTGGCACACCTGGATACACCTGGACCTCGTGCTCGAGGTTGGCGTTGGACATGGCGTCCTCGCCCGCCGCGCGCACCGCGTCTGGGAACAGCGGGTCGTTCTCGACGCAGACCAAGCTTAGCGGCACCTTGAGGTCCTTGAAGTCGTCGGGCACAACCGACGCTGCATGCGCCACCGCGCCGGCCTTGATGTACGGGCCCTTCTTGAGGGCGCCCGTCTCCTCATCGTCGCCCGCGCCCTGCCTCTGCGACTCCTGGGCGAGCAGCAGGACGAAGCGACCGCCGACGCAGTACCCGACGGCGTAGATGCCGCCGCCCTGGCTGACGGCGTCGGCGTACTGCTCGCGCGCGGCGTCGACGACGCGGTGCAGCACGGGCATGACGCGGTCGGCCGTGATGCGCGCCAGCCACATGTCGATCATGAAGGACTTGGTCACCTCCACGGCCTTGAGCTTGACCTGCTCGAGCAGCGACGTGGAGTCGTCTGTGATGGCCGTCGCTGCGGGGGCCGTGTCCCCGCCGAAGAGGTCCGGCATCAGTACCAGGTAGCCGGTCGAGGCGAACTTGTCGGCCTGGATCTGGTTGTTGGTGGAGCGGATGCCCGTGCCGCCGGTGAGGAGGAGGAGCAGGCGGGACGGCGCGTGCGGGTAGTCGGCGGGCTTGGAGATGTACACCTGAACGAGCATGTCATTAGGGGCTGCGGTCCTTCTAGCGAGGACAACGGCGGGGGGAGACGCACGTCTATGTCGTCGAGCTTGATGATCTCGCCCGTGGCGGCCTGGCCGATAGCTGGAGCGGGCGCGTTAGCGACGGCGCGTCAAGATCAAAGGCAGCGTAGGCGACGTACGAGTTGGCCGGTCTGACACGCAATGCTCCCCGACGACGGGCTCTGCTTGCGCCGCATCGTCATCGGCAGTCTTGACGTCGTCGTGGGCGGGCGGCTGCGGCACCGCCTGCTGCTGCTGCTGCTGCTGCTCTTGAGCGTCGCTCTCGGGAGCCTTTGTCGCGTTGTCCGAGTCAGCCATGTCGAACGGTCGTGTGTGCTCTTAGTCGAGGTCGATGAGGAGAGTCAGCTGGCGAGAGTGGTTGTTGAGCACGGCGAGGCCAGCTGTCGGTTGTAGGTCGACTGCCCGCATTTGGCCCCTCGCAGGAACAAGCTGGGCAACAGCACGTGGAGTGGGCTGTGTTCCTGAACAAACCGTCATGGCGCGAGCTCTGGAAGCTCCAGCTGTCAGCGTACCTAGGGAGATCGCCGCCCTGGCAGACAGCCGAGCGCATTTCTGCTCAAACATGCGGATAGGACATTACTAAAAACCTTCCGTTATATAGCAAGGTACAGAGCCCTTCGACGGACGTTGTCAATTTGTTTCCATATTTTACCTACCCGTTTCCGTTTGAACTGCTGGAAGCTTCGTTTCAACAGCAACCTTCCCAGTGTTGCCTGTTATAGCGGGCCGGCGCCAGGGCCACTGGAGAGCGCCGGCCGTTTACATAAGCCGCCACCCCGCCATCGCCCTGCGGGGCCGTTTTCCACTAAACGCGCTGGACGCGTCGCGGTTCACGGGCAACATTATCGTCTCCCGTCTCTCTCAAGCTTCACATCGCCACATCTTCCTGACGCACAACCTTTGTTTCTTCCAACCCGCGGCACGACGACACGCATACTCGAGGAATCGAAACGACACAACAATGGACGCCGCATCTTCCCTTTCAAAGGGGTCGCTTGAGTACGTCCACCGCCTCACCAGGCGCCCTGGTCCCTTGGCTCGACTGACAGTTCCCGTGCAGTGTCATCTTCAACGACCCCGACAAGGCCCAAAAGATGTTCCCAGTCCCCGTCATGCAGTGCCTGCAGATCAAGCAGATGGCGCCCTCTGCCCAGGGCGGTGACCGCTATCGCCTGGTCATGAGCGACGGCGACAACTACGTCCAGACGATGCTTGCTACCCAGGCAAACCATGTCGTCCACGAGAACAAGCTCGTGCGAGGCTGCTTCTGCCGCATCAAGCAGTACACTCCGAACAACCTGAAGGGCAAGAAGTAAGTCGCCCATAGCTGTCCCGCAGACACGCCACCGATCTCTGACGCGTCAGCAGCATCCTCATCATTCTCGACATCGAGGTGATCGAGTCCCTTGGTGTGCAGGACAAGATTGGCGAGCCCGTCGCCGTCGACGTCAAGCCGGCCCAAGAAAGCACCATCGCCGGCAACGATTTCTACGGCGCCAAGAAGGAGGAGCCCAAGACACAGCAGCAGTCGATGCCCTCGCGGCCTGCCATGCACGCCGGCAGCAACATCTACCCCATCGAGGGCCTGTCGCCTTTTGCCCACAAGTGGACCATCAAGGCCCGAGTGACCGTCAAGTCGGACATCAAGACGTGGCACAAGGCTTCGAGCGAGGGAAAGCTCTTCAGTGTCAACCTCCTTGACGAGACGGGCGAGATCAAGGCCACGGGCTTCAACGACCAGTGCGATGCCTTCTATGACCTGCTGCAAGAGGGCTCCGTCTACTACATCTCCAGCCCCTGCAGAGTGCAGCTCGCCAAGAAGCAGTTCACGAACCTGCCCAACGATTATGAACTCACGTTTGAGCGCGACACGGTCATCGAAAAGGCTGAAGACCAGACCAGCGTCCCACAAGTCCGATTCAACTTTTGCAACATTCAAGATCTGCAAAACGTCGAAAAGGACAACACAGTGGATGTCATTGGTGTCCTCAAGGAAGTGGGAGAAGTGTCCGAGATCACATCCAAGAAGGACGGGCGCCCGTTCCAGAAGCGGGAGTTGACCCTGGTAGACGACACGGGATACTCTGTCCGCGTCACGGTGTGGGGCAAGACGGCCAACTCCTTCGACGCCAACCCCGAGTCGGTGGTCGCGTTCAAGGGTACCAAGGTGTCAGATTTCGGAGGCAAGAGCCTCAGTCTGCTGTCGTCGGGGACCATGACAATCGACCCCGACATTCCCGACGCCCACAAGCTCAAGGGGTGGTACGACTCGGCCGGCCGGGCAGATACCTTTGCCACGCACCAAAACCTGGCCAGCATGGGCAGCGCCACTGGCCGCAAGGACGAGATCAAGACCATTGCTCAGGTCAAGGACGAGAACCTTGGCGTCGACGATCAGGCGTACTACTCCATCAAGGCTACCATTGTCTTTGTGAAGCAAGACAACTTTTGCTACCCTGCCTGCTCGTCGCAAGGGTGCAACAAGAAGGTGGTGCAGATGGGCGATGGCATGTGGCACTGCGAGAAGTGCAATGTGTCGCACGACAAGCCCAACTACCGGTACATCCTGTCGCTTAACGTGGCCGACCACACCAGCCACCAGTGGCTCAGCTGCTTCGACGAGACTGGCAACATGATTTTCGGCAAGACTGCCAACGAACTCATGGAGCTCAAGGAGAACGACGAGACACGGTTCATGGCGGCGTTTGAGGATGTCAACTGCAAGAAGCTGAGCTTCCGATGCCGTGCGCGGATGGACAACTACGGCGACGCGCAGAGGTACGTCGCAACAGGCGTTTTGATCCAAGGCTAGTATGATGCTGACATTTAATACAGGGTGCGATACCAGGTCATGAGCGCCTCGCTCCTCGACTTCAAGACGGAGGGCAACAAGCTGGCGGAGCTGATAAAGCAATACGACATGAACTCGTAAAGGGAAGTGACGGCGGGCTATGAGTGTATTGTAATCATGATGGGACTTGGGACTGCTTCATACGCGTGCTGTGATCACGTAGATTTGAGTCATTACAAGACATGGGTCGGACGCGCGGGACAGGGACAATGGGGACACAAAAACACATGTGTAGCTGGACTGTTGAATCGTCCATGATGAATCTCTTTTATTCTTTCTACTCGTACGCCCAACCTTTTTTGCGATCGTGACTCGGCTGAAAACCCCAGCACCGTGGTATCATGTCCTCCTCTTTCTTGCTCGTGCGTTGGTAAATGGTTCAAATGTCCAGTTTCTGGTGCTTCCACGGCCGCTTGCCGTCGCCCTCGCCGTAGTCGGCGGTGGCCTGGTACTGGCCGCGGACCTTGTACTTGTAGATGGTGAGGCCCTCGAGGCCGACGGGCCCGCGGGCGTGGATCTTGTTGGTGCTGATGCCGACCTCGGTGCCGAAGCCGTAGCGCATGCCGTCGGCGGTGCGGGTGGAGGCGTTCCAGTAGGCGCCGGCCGAGTCGACCTGGTCCATGAAACGCTCGGCCTCGGCGGGGTCCGAGGTGAAGATGGCGTCGGTGTGGTGGGAGCCGTGGGCGTTGATGTGGGCGACGGCCTCGTCGAAGTTGGAGACGGTGCGGACGGCGACGTCGAGGGAGAGGAACTCGGTGTCGTAGTCGGCGGGGGTGGCGTCGAGGAGGCGCACGGCGGGGACGAGGTCCGAGGCGATGGCCTTGGCGGCCGGGTCGCAGCGCAGGGTGACGCCGGCGGCGGCGAGGGCAGCGGCGACGTCGCGGAAGACGGTCAGCAGGGCCGAGTCCTGGACGAGCAGGGTCTCGACGCTGTTGCAGGCGGCGGGGTAGCTCGTCTTGGCGTCGACGACGGCGCGGGCGGCCTTTTGGGCGTCGGCGGAGGCGGTGAGGTAGATGGAGCAGAGGCCGTCTGCGTGGCCGAGGACGGGGATCTTGGTGGACTCCTTTATGTAGCGGACGAGGTCGTTTGAGCCGCGGGGGATGACGAGGTCGATGTTGCGGTCCTGGGCGAGGAGGGCGGCGATGGCGTCGCGGGTGGTGACGAGCTGGACGGCGTCGTTGGGGACGGGCCCGCGCTCGAGGGCGGCGGAGATGGCTCGCGAGATGGCGACGAAGGACTCGGTGGACTCGCGGCCGCCCTTGAGGATGGCGGCGTTGCCCGACTTGACGGCGAGGGCGGCGATGTTTGCGATGACCTCGGGGCGGGCCTCGAAGATGATGAGCAGGACGCCGATGGGGCACGAGACGCGCTCGAGCGTGTAGCCGTCGTCGAGGAGGGTGCGCATCTGCACTTGGCCGACTGCATGCCACATGTCTCCAAGTCAGCGTCCAGAACCCAACTATGGACAGCGGAGAACAGGGGAGAAGGAGAGAACGTACGCGGGTCGGGCAGGTCGCGGACGTCGAGGATGCCGCGCAGCATGTCGTCAAACTTGCCCTTCTTGCCGAGGTCAAGGCGGGAGACGAGCGCGGCGCTCAGGGAGCCATCAGCGGCGGCCTTGCGGGCGAGCTCGAGGTCCCGGGCGTTGGCAGCGAGGATATCATCACGGGCAGCGGCGAGGGCATCGTGGATGGAATCGAGGGCGGCGTTGCGGTCCGAGGCGGGCAGCGCGGCGAGCGTGAAGGAGGCGGCCTTGGCGGCGGCGGCTGCCGCCTCGGGGGAGGCATTGGTGAGAGACATTTTGTGCTGTGTTTTCTTGCGCCTGACCTAGACGTGGCTCGATGCGGCAACTGCGTATATAAGCCAAAAGGCAGAGCAGAGAATGGGCCGTGAGGGAAGGTTTTTTTCGCTCAACGGTGATGGGGATGGTGAGCACGAGGAAGCATGACGTTGGTGGTGTTGACTTTGGGGGACCCCGCGGTGGGGCAGCCAAGCAAGGCACTGATTAGATCGGGGGGCGTCCCCGACGGGCAGCAATTGGCGCGACGCGCGCTCGCCCCGTCTCCGTCATGTGAAGAATGGGAGGCTCTGGTGCGAGGGCCTGGCTCATCCCGTGCGAGGGCAAGAGGGACATTCTGAGCGACTTTCTTTCTGGTGTCGGCACGCACGTGTAAAAGCCGCGAGGGAGGCGTCGATGCCGACGGACGAAGGGGGTGCGCGGGGTGGGCGGTGCCTTGGATCTCGGCTTTGGTTGAGCTGCTTCTGCTTCGAGGTTCAAGATAGAATGTCCGACATTGAACAATGGCAGTCCGCGAACACCCGGATGGACTCTTTGCTGAGGGGAAACGCTCCGGGTTGAAGGGGCCGCGGCGCGCGCGTCGCTCTGAGCAAAGACTCGGTAACGCTGCTCGGGTTGGGGAAGGAAGCGCAGGAAGTCGCAGCATTAAAACCACAAACGCCTACCTGGCGCTGCAGGACGGATAGACAGACCGGGTCTTCCTATTTTGCTTTAAAGTTCTATTTTACGTTAATAGTGCAAGCGCCGGCTCCTGGACCGGCGACTTCGACATCGGAATCAACATGAGCGGGCGCCCCGTGCGCAAACCTCAATGGGGCAGTTGGGCCCCGACCGCCCCTCGGCACTTGCCAGTCGGGAGAGGGAAGCACTGGAGCACCCGCAGCCGGCTTGGCATCAAGCCACAAGGCACGCCCATCAATTCAGATGAGATTCAAACCTTTGCTGAATCAACACCTGCAGGGCCACGCTCCACAGCTGCTTCTCGTTTGAAACCCGTCGTTGCAACGTACCATGGCATCCCAGGGCCAATTCAGACGGCGGTTCATTCATTCGTTTACTCACTCGACAAAGCGGCTCAGACGCAGAGGCAATGCCGCGCCCGGATTGCGTCATGGACAAAACCTCTCCGCTTCGTATATACACGACGCCCTAGCACAGGGACTTTTTGCTCTCCACGGCCACCTCAAATAGGCAAGTCGCCGGGCCCCGCGCATGGACCGGCCGTGCAGAGCGACTCGGGCGCCAGCAACGACCCAGTTGAAGCCTCAGCCTCGCCGGCACGTCCGCGCCGAGCGCCGTGACATTGGACCCTTTGCGGCTTTGGTACCCGTGGGGACGCGGCCCTGCGATAGGAAGCTGGCCTTGCTGTTGACGTCGTCTGCGTGGGCGAAGCAGGGCGACCTGCGGCCGATCACGCCTCGACTCGGCAAGGGCCGGGCCCCAATGACCCATTGATCCGTGGCTGGTGATGCGTCCGCGCTTGCAGACGTCCCCGGCCGACGCGGAGCCCCTCACGCTGTTGTGTGTCGCAGCGTACTTTGACCGTATGCTGTGCGAGGCTGCCACGGCAGTTGCCCGTGGAACGCCCAGCGTAATCGGCGGCGGCGGTAGGGCGACGATGATCGAAGCCCGAGGGCGAGGCCGTATAAGAGGGCGGCCCGGTCCTGCGGCCTGCCATCATTCCAGCCCTGTCTCAGTTTGCCTGCTCATCAGTCAAACGCGTCTGTCGAGGTCACATCTCCCTCCGACAATTGATTCGTCGACAACATGAGAACCCAATGGCTGCTCCCCGTCCTGGGGCTCTGCGCATCGTCGTTCGCGGCGCGCAATGGCCAGGCCGACCAGCTGCGTCAGTGGCTGCACGGCAGGAGCCCGGCCGATGTCGAGTACCAGGCCTTTGAGGAGCCGACCGTCCACGCGAGGGCCAGCACGGAGCACCGCTTCCTCAACGACAAGACGGAGAGTGAGTCGCCTGCTGCCCTCTGACAGGGGTTGCTTGTTTATTTGTTTGTTCCCTTGCGGCTGACAGACCCGTCTATCCAGAGTTTGCCGTCAACGGCACCAGCATCCCCGACGTCGACTATGACGTCGGCGAGTCGTATGCCGGCCTGTTGCCCATTTCTGACAAGAAGGACGAGCGCGACCACCTGTACTTTTGGTTCTTCCCCACCGTCAACGAAGAGGCCAAGAAAAAGAAGGAGATTGTCATCTGGCTCAATGGCGGCGTAAGTGTCTCTAACCCCTTGGACCGTGTCGATGCTAACGCAGGTCCCATCAGCCCGGCTGCTCGTCCCTGCTGGGCTTCCTGCAGGAAAACGGCCCCTTCCAGTGGCAGCCCGGCATGATCAAGCCGCAAAAGAACCCCTGGAGCTGGCACGAGCTGAGCAACATTGTCTGGATCGAGCAGCCCGTCACCGTCGGCTACTCCAAGGGCAATGCCACGGCCAAGAATGAGGACGACGTGGCGAGCCAGTTCCTGGGCTTCTGGAAGAACTTTATCGAGACCTTCGGCATGCGCGGCTGGAAGGTCTACGTCGTGGCCGAGTCGTACGGCGGCTACTACGGCCCGTACATTTCGAGCCACATGGTCAATGCCAATGACACGCAGCACTACAACCTCGGCGGGCTAATGATCTACGACGGCATCATGTTTGATGGCCAGGTGCAGGGCAATGTCATCGTCGAGGCGTTTGTCGAGCAAAACTACAACCTCATGCCCTTTGACGACAAGCACCTGGCGCACATCCACAACGTCTCGCAGAAGTGCGGCTTCAGGGACTACCACAAAAAGTACCTGACGTACCCGCCCGTCGGGCCGGCGCCTCGATACCCGCCGGGCGTGAAGCCTTTCCCGAACGGCACATACGAGTACATCGATGGGTGCGGCGACCTGTTTGACTACGTCTACACCGAGATGAAGACGACGAACCCGTGCTTCAACATTTACAACATTGCGGACCACTGCCCGAACGGATACGACCCTCTGGGCGATAAGACGCCTTACTTTGACCGCAAGGATGTCAAGAAGGCCATCAACGCGCCGCTCGACGTGACGTGGTCGCAGTGCGTGGACGGCGTATTCAACACGACCGACGGCGACGAGTCGGCGCCGCCGGACAAGTACGAGCTGCCCAACGTCATTGACCACACGCACAACGTGATCCTGGCACAGGGCAACCTGGATCTCATCCTGCCGCTCAACGGCGTGCTGCTGGGCATCCAGAACATGACGTGGGGCGGCAAGCTGGGCTTCCAGACGCGGCCGCAGGACCCCTTTTACGTGCCGCTGTACCGCGAGGGCCGCAACCGCGACTACTACGGCAAGGCGCTGCCGGCGGGCGCGGGCGTGCTGGGGACGACGCACCACGAGCGCGGTCTGACGCTGGTCGCGTCGCAGCTGGCGGGCCACGAGGGCCCCGAGTACGTGCCGGCGGCGGCGTTCCGACACCTGGAGAAGCTGCTCGGGCGGGTGCACAGCCTGAGCGACACGCAGCCGTTTACGCTGCCGCAGCTGCGCAACATTACGCAAGTGGAGAAGCCGCTGGGCAAGGGGACGGTGCCGATTCCGTGCTTCGGGAAGGGGTGCTGAGCGGCGCGTCGGACGGATGCCGGTAATATCGTAGATGATAATCGACCTCTTGTATACATGAAATAGCACAGGCATGGACATGTCTAAAGATTGATTAGCGAGAACAGCAACGTTGGTTACCTCTGTGTCGATCGTGCAGGAGGCAAGTAGACGAAGTAGGTATGTATTCGGCGAGACAGCCCGACGTCTATGGCCAGGACCATGCACACTGCTGCAGTAAGCTTGCACCTGCACCTGTCGGCGCCCGGCGAGGACAGTCAGACGAATGCAACCGGCCGCCCCCGAAAGCCCGGTTACGCAGCCCGAAAGACGAATGCCGTGCGACCGCGAAAGCTGATGAAGCTTGGACGCAACGCCAAGTCTCGCGTGTCGCTTGTCGGGTTGGGTGGTGAGTTTGGAGTACTTTATCAATTGTGAGTTGGTGTCACGCGCACTTTCGTGACCGTGACTGTGACCGGACGACGGCGAAAGGACCAAGAAGAAAAAAAGGAAAGAAACAAAAGAGAAAAGGTGACGCCTCGTGTCGGTCGGTCGGTTGGTCGGTGGTGGTGCTGATCCGTGAGTGCGTGCATGACACCTCCACGGGAATAACTACGACCGCTGCCAAGTGAGGCGAGGCAAAAGGGACGGACACGCGCTTGATGTAAGTGGGAACATGGATGGACTGACCACGCACAGTCTCACGATGCCCATCCTTTTGTGATTCGTAAAGTTGTCCAGCAACACGAGCATCAAAAACTCTACGTCTTGTATTATGTACTGAAAAAAATGCCCACATCTGACGATAATGCACAGCAGAAAAGCCGGCGTCACCTCTCCACAAGGAACAACCCTGATGATGAAGGCACAGAGGTCGCATGAAGCGGCTGTTGCCCGAAGACAGACAGACAGACCCGTCCAATAAATCCCCGCTCATCACTCACTCACTCACCCACGCGCGCGTCGTCTCCCCCACTTCATTCGCTTCTTTATCCTCCCGCTCCTCTCGCTATTATGTACGTACAGTACTTCACATCGGCGCGCTTCGGCACCGGGCATCCATCATCCCGCCATCGCGCCTCGCGCCCGCGCTTTTCGGCCTTCTTGGGACCCCTCCCTCTTCCCCACTCGACAGTCCGAAACGGCCCAACAGGGCCCCAGAAGCCATGCGTTGCACTTCCCTTTCCAGCTGCAGCGACCTTGTTGGACGTTGCAAAGTACGACTTCGTACCCTGGACGGCGCATTGGATCGGACACCAGGGCAACAGTGCTGCCCGAAAGGAAGGGGGGGGAAAAGTAACTGGTCATGGCGTTGTCGTCGTCGTCGTCGTCGTCGTCGTCGTCGTCGTCGTCGTCGTCGTCGTCGTCGTCGTCGTCGTCGTCGTCGTCGTCTCCCCGGTTTTGTTGCCTTGGTCCCTGGGGTCCGGCTCTCGCAAGTCCATGCTATCTCCGACCCCAGCTCCAACGCCGGATTTCTTTTTGGGCACTTTTTCTTCCTCGTGAGCGCTTGACTCTCCGCCGTTGACCTTCCCCTTTGGCGGTCCACACCCCCGATCCACGGGGGGCGCCGGCACCGCAGCGGCAGCGTCAAGCGAGCGGGGACCACTACTATCCCACTATCCCACTTCGTACTCCCTCCATGACTGACAGACCGGGGGGCTTTTTTTCTTCCTCTGCTGCTGGTCGCTTCTCACGATTGGGGCCCGGCTAACAGAGGGCGAGGGAATCCAAACCGTGCGGGTGCCGTTCCGCCTCCCTCCCCCCTCCCCCCCTCCCCCCCCACACTGTCGTGGAGCGGCGCCACCCCTGTAGTTGCCCGGTAGCGGGAAGAAGTTTGTAAAGCGATACAGAGTGAGAGAGATGCCTCGGCGATGCACGCTGCCGTGGCCGAGCGCCGCGCCCTCTCTTGGTGGCTCTCGCGTTGGGAGTTGGGGACCAGACCCGTTGCCGATTATCCTTTCTCTCTCTCCTCTCTCTCCTTCCCTTTCATCTCTCATGTGCATGCCGCGTGTTTTTTTGTTGGACACCGGCCGTTTTTCTTGAACCGTTGCTTCCCAACCCCCGCCCTCTCAGAGCGTAGAGTCACCCATGGCATCGCCGGCCGGCACTGTTGCAGCAGCAGACGCCTGAACCACCGCCCGCCGCCGCCGGGACCGGAGAGGCGCGGACTCGGCCGAACAGCACACCGCCCCCTGAGACACCGGCGCCATGTCCGCGGACCCGGACGGCGAAAAGGTGCAAGTCCATGGACAACAACACCAACACCACCATCCTGACGATGTAGAGCGTCCGCCCTCGGTCACGACAGAAACCACCAGCACCGCCCACGAAGGGCCCGGACCCGACGACGACGAAAATGACGAAGATGACGATTATGCAACGGAGCGGGACCTGGAAAAGGCCGACCACATAGTCTCGGCCACCTTCCCCGGCGAGGCGGCCGGGGGCGGGACCACCGTCAGGGCCGGCAGCCCGGGACTCGACCACCACCACCACCACCGGTCCGGCCCGGGGTCCGCCCCAGATCCGGACCTTGAGGAAAAGACAGTCGGCGACGATGCCGTCGTCGCTCGTCGCTCGCCGTCGCGTGCCTCGTCTGCGCGCTCGCGGCCCCTGACCATTGTGCCCCGCCATCGGCGCCGCGGGCTGTTTGGGCGCTTCACCATCGTGCCCGAGGTGAAGCGGCCGTACGACTACAAGAACTCGACCAAATGGGGCCTCACCGCGACTGTGGCCTTTGCCACCATTGCCGCGCCGCTCGGCTCCTCCATCTTTTACCGTGAGGCAGCACCAGCCAGCCCCTTTCCCCTATCCCTTCCTCATGATACGGTGATATACCATCACTCATGTTGTCCTCGTGCTTCACTCCTTTTCGGCTTACTGCTATTGATGTGCATGTAAGTGCCTGAACCGCTTGTGGACGATGGGCTGACAGACGGCGCTCTCAACCCGCCCGCAAAACAACAGCCGCCCTCCCCGTCCTCACGCGCGAGCTCAACACGACGCAGACGGTGACCAACCTGTCGGTGGCCATGTACATGCTCGCCATGTCCATCTTCCCGCTGTGGTGGTCCTCCTTCTCCGAGCAGCTGGGCCGGCGCACCGTCTACCTCGTGTCCTTCTCCCTCTTCGTCGTCTTCTCCGTGCTCTGCGCCGTCAGCACCAGCGCCGCCATGCTCGTCGTCTTCCGCGTCCTCACCGGCGGCGCCTCGGCCAGCGTGCAGGCCGTCGGCGCGGGCACCATCGCCGACATCTGGGAGCCGCGCGAGAGGGGCCGCGCCATGAGCATGTTCTACCTCGGCCCCTTGCTTGGCCCCATCGTCGCGCCTGTCGTGGGTGGTGTGCTCGCCCAGAAGCTCGGGTGGCAGTCGACGCAGTATTTTCTCGCCATCTACGGCGCCGTCATATTGCTGATGCTCTTCTTCCTGCTGCCGGAGACGCTCGCCCGGCGGCGCGCCGATGACGATGATGATAATGACCAGCAGCAGCAGCAGCAGCAGCAGGGCGCAGGTCAAGGAGAGCAGCTGCAGCGCACCACGACCGCCCAGTCCGCCAAGATCAAGACGCAGCGCCTCGCCCGGGCCGTCAAGCGCGTCGTCATCGACCCGCTCAGCGTGCTGCTCTTCCTGCGCTTCCCGCCGGTGCTCATCACGGTGCTCGTCGCGGCCATCGCCTTTGGCGCGCTCTTCGTCGCCAACATCTCCATCCAGCAGACCTTCTCGGCGCCGCCGTACGGCTTCCCGCAGCTCATCGTCGGCCTGCTGTACGTGCCCCTGGGGCTGGGCTACTTTTCCGCCTCCTTCTTCGGCGGCCGCTGGATTGATAATATTATGGCCCGCGAGGCCCGCAAGGCGAACCGCTACGACGAGCACGGCAAGCTCGTCTACCTCCCCGAGGACCGCATGCGCGAGAACATGTGGATCGCCAACACGGTCTATCCCCTGGGGCTGCTGCTGTTTGGGTGGACGCTGCGGTACGGCGTGTTTTGGTTCGTGCCGTCGCTGGGGGGGTTCTTCTTTGGGGTGTCGTCGATGCTGGTGTTTGTGAGTCTTTACTCTATCTTCCCCCGATCTCTCCCAATCCCCCCCAACTTCTAGCCGCTTCTTCACACGATATGTCCCCCCTGTTCAGCATGCTGACACTGACCGACCGACCGACCAGTCCGCCGCGACCACCATGCTCACCGAGTTCGTCCACAAGCGCTCCTCGGCGGGCGTCGCCGTCAACAACTTTGTGCGCAACATCCTCAGCTGCGTCGGCACCGTCGTCGCCGCCCCCTGGATCAACGCCATCGGCACCGGCTGGGTCTTTACCATCATTGCCGTCTTTTGCCTGGCGTCCGGGTACTTTGGCATATGGATCCTGCGCCGCAACGCGCCGCGCTGGAGAAAGGACATGGACGAGGCCATGAAGAAGATAAGGTGAAGCACTTTTTTTTGGGCTGTCTTCTCGGGAGCGATTTGCTGCTGTGTGTTTTTGGCCGCCTCGGAGTAAGGAGTAATAAATAGCATACGTATATAATCATGCATAATATACATACTTACACATGGAGAGAGAGTGAGAGAAGGAACGGAACTGAAGTGCTTTGCTTCCAGTAAACGTTTTTCGTTTCTTCCTCGGCGTTATATACGTGTATAATATGAACGTGTATCTCTAGGTCAATATGAAGGGACAAGAGGCAGTCCGTCCGTCATCCTCACTTTGCCTCGCCAAACATCCTCCCAAGGGCATCCACGCCGACATTCCCACCGCTCAGCACGATGCCCAGCTCCCAGCCCTCCTCGCCGCCCTCGCGCTCCACCAGCGCGCGAAACTCCTCGTCGAAGAGCGCCGCCGCGAGGGGCACGCACGCGCTCGGCTCGACCACCATCTTGCAGCGCTCCAGCACGAGGCGCATCGCCGCGAGGATCTCCTCCTCGGTGACGCTGAACATGCCGCTGACGAGCCGCCGCCCGTGGATCACGCTGAAGGGGTGCTCGCCCACGGGCGTGCGCAGCCCGTCCGCCACCGTCAGCGTCGAGACCGAGGCCACGCGCTGGCCAGACTCGTAGCCGCGCTTGCCGTCGTCGGCGCCCTGGAACATGGGCTCCGAGCCGAAGACGCGGATGCCGGTGCCCTCGCAGCTGAGGGCCACGCCCGAGAGCATGCCGCCGCCGCCGCAGGGCGTGATGATGGCGTCGAGGCCCGTCTTCGGCTTCTTCTTCGTCGTCGTCGTCGCCTCCTGCTTGCTGCCGTGTCCGCTCTCCTTGCTCTCCGCCGCCAGGAGCTCCGCCACCTGCTCCTGCAGCTCCAGCCCCATGGTGCCCTGGCCGAGCATAATGTCCGGGTGGTCGTACGGCGGCACCAGGCGCGCGCCCGTCTCGGCGATGACGCGCGCCGCCGCCGCCTCGCGCTCCGGGCTCGTGCTCCCGCTGAAGACGACCTCGGCGCCGTACCCCTTGGTGGCGGCAATCTTCTGCGGGATGGAGATGTCGGGCATGACGATGCGCACCTTGATGCCGTTTTCGCGCGCGGCGAGCGCCAGCGCCTGCGCGTGGTTGCCTGTCCACGCCCACGTAGGATATATCGTCAGCTTCATCTCACATCTCTCTCAACTCCAGCCCTCAACCTCAAACCTCAAAACATCACTTCAGCCCTCAACTCCCGCGAAACCATCACCACCAACCCGCTCACCGAACCACACACACCGTAAAGAGAGACAAAGACACACACACACACACGACAAGGGAAACAAAAACGTACCAGAACTGTGCGTCACCACGCCCTTGTCCCTCCCCCCGCCCTCCAGCCACCCCTCCTCGCGCATCAGCCTCTCCACGGCGTGGAACGCGCCCCGCACCTTGAAGGCCCCGACGCGCTGCATGTTCTCGCACTTGAACCACAGCCGCATCCGCGGCGCCGCCGGCGTCCGCCCCTCCCACCGCGTGCCCCGGAGCTCCTCCGCCGCGCGGGGCCGCGACGCCAGCTCCGACAGCGTCCGGTTCGTCACCACCGGCGTCCGGTGCACGTGCGGCGCCACGATCCGGTGCGCCTCGACGACCGACGCCCGCGTGAGCGGCGGGCAGGTGGACAGGTCGGCCATGGCTGATGCGAGTCTCTGAGCTGAGCTGAGCTGAGCGAGCGGCGTGCGAGGAGTGTGAGAAGAAGGATAGTACGTAACAAGGGGATGCCCGTTCGGTGTCGAGCACAACAAGATCCGCAGCTGGTGCGGAGACGAGACGACCATTTATAATAGATCAACCAGCGCCTGCGTCGGGCCCCGATGTCGTGTCCCTCGACGGCGGCGGTCGCACCCGGCGTCTGTCAGAGGCTGCCTCCAGGCCCCGGCGACCCGCTTCTCCGCCCGAACATCGGGGCCCAAGTCCAGCCCAGTCGGCACCACATATCGTCCGTCTTCTCCACGCTTCCACGCGCGCCTCACGTACATCTTACACACACGCGCGCGCCAAGGCCTTCAGCTCAATTCAGGTCAAACGTTCCATTCACTTTTTTTGCGGTATCATAGAGCCCATGCCGGCCGCACCCGGGGCAACATGTCAGGCCGTCCCAACCCGCGAAATTCTAGAATAGCCCAATACAGATACAATGGATTTTTTGAAATCAATCAAAGCCATCCCGAGACTCCCAGCGTCCAGTCGCACCGCCAAGCCGCCTCTTATTTTTGGTTCTCGGGTCGGAGGGAGCTACAAAGTCATGCATGTCAGCAAAGGGCGCACTCTTGACGATCCGCCCGGGTAGACACGGGCGACGGCGCAACGAAATGATGTCAACTTACCGGACGGCCTTGCCGGCTCTCCAGATCTCCAGGTTGCGAATCTCCTCCATCTCCGCCTCGTACAGCTCGCGGTAGTCCTTCCGGCTGTTGTACTCGAGCGAGCGCTTCGTCTCGGAGCCGTCCTTGACGCTGTCGTACAGGCTGTTGAAGACGGGCTTCAGCGCGTCCTTGAACTTGGGCGTCCAGTCGATGGCGCCGCGGCGGGCCGTCGTCGAGCAGGCCTCGAACATCCAGTCCATGCCGTTGGCGCCGATGAGGGGGTACAGGCTCTGCGTGGCCTCCTCGACGGTCTCGTTGAAGGCCTCGCTGGGGCTGTGGCCGCGCTCGCGGAGAACCTCGTACTGGGCAAGGAACATGCCGTGGATACCGCCCATCAGGCAGCCGCGCTCACCGTACAGGTCAGAGTACACCTCCTTCTCGAAGGTGGTCTTGTACAGGTAGCCGGAGCCGATGGCGACGCCCAGGGCGATGGCCTTCTCCTCGGCCTTGCCGGTCACGTCCTGGTAGACGGCGAACGACGAGTTGATGCCGCGGCCCTCACGGAAGAGGGAGCGGACGGTGCGGCCGGAGCCCTTGGGGGCGCAGAGGATGACATCAATGTCCTTGGGGACCTCGACCTTGGTGAGGTCCTTGAAGACGGGCGAGAAGCCGTGGGAGAAGTACAGAGTCTGGCAGGGCGTGGTCAGCGTCGGGTCTCGCAGGGTCCCATGCACGCGGCAAGTCACGTACCTTGCCCTTGACGAGCTGGGGCTTGATGGCGGGCCACGTCTCGGACTGGGCGGCGTCGGAGAGCAGGTTCATGACGATGGTGCCGCGGGAGATGGCCTCGTCGACATCGAACAGGTTCTTGCCGGCGACCCAGCCGTCCTGCTCGGCGTCCTTCCACGACTTGCCGTTCTTCCGGACACCAACGATGACGTTGAGGCCGTTATCGCGGAGGTTCAGGCCCTGGCCGTGGCCCTGGGAGCCGTAGCCGATGAGGGCAAGGGTGTCGTTTTTGAAGTAGTCCTGGAGATTGGGGTGTCAGCGCGAGCAATTGAGAGATGGATTGCCATTGCCATTGCCATTGCCATGGCAATGCATTGGATGGGTGACTCACCAGGAGCTTCTCCTGAGGCCAGTCGGCACGCTCTGGAGGCGCAGCAAGGTCAGCATATCGGCACACGGAGCAGGGCGCGGGCTCGCATCTCCAGCATACCGTAGACGTCCTCCTTGGAGCCGGCAAAGTCCATGGTCTTGACGCCGCGGACCTGCTGGGCGGCCGGGCCGGCGAGGGCCGGGCGAGCGACAGCGGCGGCGGTGGCGCGGGCCAGGTTGCGGCCAGCAATGTAGGAGCGCTGCTGGACGCGGGGCGAGGCCAATTGGCGGGCCACGTTGGCGCGCAGGGTCTTGGAGAAGCTTCTCGAGGCCATTGTGACGGGTTACGCGATGTGCGATGTGATGGAGGGGAGATGGGGAGGGAGCTCTGTGATGGATGAAGGGGGGGGAGAAGGGTTGAAGATGAATGAATGAGACGACGACGGGGTGCTCGGTCGGGAAACGGAGGACGGGAATTTTTCTGGGGGCTTTGGTGGGCGGCCAGGCTGAGGACCTGGGCACCGATTTCGGTGGCCCGGTTTCGACGGTGCTGCGTCGCTGGGGGGATTTTGGGGGGAGCTCCCGTCCCAAGGCTCACGGCTCGTTACTTGCAATGCACAGGGGAGGGATCCATGGATCCACCCGCGGGCGCCGGCTGCGGCCTCGCTGGACGGGCGCTGGCCACTCACGCGCCGCCGTGCCCGAGGCCCGCTGGCATTTCGGTCGCCTCTCACTGGCCGACTTCGCCCCAGCGGTGGGAGGTTGAGCAGGGCACAGCGAGCTGTCCGTCACCTAGGAGGGGACCCTTGAGTCGCGCGACTTAATTAGCGTCCCGGCCCCCCGTCGAGCGCGCAGCTGCAAGCATGTGCTCTGGTCCTCTGGGGGCCCCGTTTGCTCCGTTGCCGGCGCTGCTGTCTGACTGTGCTCGTCCGAGCTGCGCCTGGTGCAACCAAAAGCACGTACGAGTTCGAGCTAGGGACGATCCCACGTACCTTGGGCTTGCGAGCCAGGCCAGGTACGGTACGGTACGGTTCCTGATGAGCCGGTCAACTGTATAGCTTGGAAGGCAAGGTAGCATTGGACAGAGAGGCACAGCTACCAGGTCATAACAGTAAGCCCATGCTTGCTTGAGAGAGTCAACGTAAGAAACACGCTGGGACTCCTCCTCCTCCGCCATCAGCAGTCCACGCCCCCATGGACCATCAAGTTCCAGTTGTCGCGGTGGAAAATCTGCGCCGCCCTCCCCTTCTTGCACCGATCATACACCTGCATGATGCCAATCGCGACAGCAAAGTCGCTCCACGCATGCAGGACCTTGCCGTCACGATTCTGGAACGGCGCATCATATCTGCTGTCAGCCTTCTTGTTTCTTTTCACCCGCTCTGCTCTGTCCTCCAGCGCGTGCTGTGTGGCCCACCCTCTAACATTATCGAGAGAGAGAGAGAGAGAGAGAGAGAGAGAGTGTGTGTGTGTGTGTGTGTCGGAAAACTCACGTCGTTGCACCACCAGAACCCCGTGCCCTTCTTGCAGTATATCCTCTTGCAGTGCCTCGGCCCCGGCTCGATGTACGGGTTGATCGTCTTGGGCTCGTTGAAGAAGTCCTTGGCGTCGTTGTTCACCTCGTCCCAGGTGCTCGCCGGCGCCGGCTTGCCGATGCCGCACTTGACGTCGGTGTTTCTCCACCCCTCCGGGGAACACCTCGTAGATTGGGCTCCGGGCGTGTTCGATGTGGCGGCCGGCTGCTGCTGCTGCTGCTGCCGCTGGGTCCGGGGCTGGTTCTCCGGGATGCTGGCCTGGGCTCGTGTCGTTGCTGCCGGGTGTCTCGCGCTGTATGGCGCCTAGCAGCCTCGGCGGCAATTCGTCCTCGTGCCGGACGGCTAAGCCCAGTATCTACGGCAGTGACTCTTGTTAGCAAGATGAAATAGGCTGGCATTCTTCGCTTTCCAAGCAGATTCACACGTACCACTGCAACGAATGCAGAAAAGACAGCGAGTATCGTAGCCGATCTCATCGTGAATGTGTAGGGGCCGTCTTCCTCATGGCGCAGTCTAAGCCGATGGCAGCTTGAGCCAGAAGCAGCCAGCAGCAGCAGCACATCTCATACTCAATATATCGATTCCCGTACAGACCCGTGCCCGGACTTGAACCTCCCCAGGGCATGCATTGTGGGTCGTCCGTGGCGCACCCTGCGTCCTCCACGCTTGATCTCATCGATGGATCGCTCGCGGGCTGGCCGCTGCCCATCCCTCAATCGCAACACGACGCCATCCCACACCTCCTGCCTACACTTTTTGTTCCAGCCTCGCGTGTTTGGACTTTACATGTGCAAGCCAGCTGTGTTCGGCGTCCCAGCAAGACGCTGGCCGCTGTACCATACATGTCCACATGTGCCCTCGAGTGCGCATGGCTTCGCCGTGGCGGAGAACAAGCATGGCCCCTTGCACCGGTGGTCGAGGATGCTATTGAGACGCCACATGTCCCATCGCCTGCTCGCCATGTTTCCCCGGCCCCAAAATCTGCTATTGGTCGAAGCTCGGGTAACAACCAGACCAGACGGGGATGCAAATATACGGCTTGGTGATAAGTGTATCCGTGGCTCACTTGATAATTCTTGAGCGAGAGGGGAGCCCGAAGAGGCAAGGAAGCTTGCAATAATGTGCTTCGAGATCGCATGGTTATAAACGTCTAAAACGGGGTCAAATACCACATCCACGCTCCTCAAGGGTCCAATGCAACTGGCTTCGCTCTTTATCAAGTCTTGCGCCGCACCCGATGACCAGACGGGCTGATGCCACCATCCTCTAGTACCTCATGTGCAAGCTCGGGTCCCTGCTGCCTGAACGACAGCAACCAGCAACACCAACCTGTCGTCCACACAAGGTCTGACAAGAGGTTATCTTTTCGCCAACAGACTATGCTCCCCCCGTCCCTCCCTCGATGCTCTACTTGTTGCTCATCGCATGCGGTGTACCACGAGGCCTCGGTCCGCGCGGTGCCCCAGTGCTTTACGGGCCAAGTATCTTCTATTTGATGACTCGGTCGTATGCCGTGCCTTTGATGGTGCCTCCACTCATGGCAAGGCGCACGTTTCGCTTGAAGCCCTCCCGGTTATGTCGCAGGTCTTCGGCGGCCTCCTTGTTGAGGGGGTCCGAGGCGTTTGGCTCGAGGAAGAGGAACTAGCAACAGCACACAGCGTCAGCGTTTTTGGAACAAACGGCCTAGGGAGACGCCACTCGGGGGCGTTGGCGGGCGTACCTGCAGCCCAACGATGACGGCGTTGAGGTTCAGCACGGGCTTCCAGTCCTCGCGCAGGATGTTCAGACAGACCTTGCCCTCCAGGTCGATGTTCGGGTGGTAGATGGTTTCCCTGCACCGCACCTTGGGCGGCTCGTGCGGGAAGTTTTGGTTGATGGCAAAGTCAAACGTAAACTTGCCGCCGCGGTACATGCCCTCGTCGGGGTCGATCGTCAGGACAAAGTTGAGGATGTCGTCGGGGTCCGGGAACTCGGTCTTCATTGTCGACCCGAGTGACAGCTCCGACAAGTCTGCATGATGAATCGACCGTTAGCTTCCGTACATCGGCCGGCGGGGAGGACAACCCCCCAGGCCCTCGCGTGACGAGAGGCACCGAGTAAAAGCGTCGTTGCGCACCTTTCTGCACCCGCAGCTGGGCTGCTGTGACCTTTTTCTTCTTCCCGCCAGCTGCTTGGCCCTCGGCATTTTCAGCCTGCTTCTGCTCTTTTTTCTGTTCACCACGTTAGTTGTGGGACATCTCGCATGCCCCAAAAAGTACGTCATCGCCTACCATGGACCATATCTTCAACATCTTGGGCGAGGTGCTGCCCCGCGCGAGGGGTCGGTCGATCGGCGGGAACGGCTTCAGGCGGAGAGACGGGTGTGTTCTGGGGGTATGTGCCGCCGAGGCTGGTGCGTAGGAATGGTTTGTGCAGGAGGGTGCCGCAGAGGCCGGGTGCAAGACGTGGAGGCGCGGCGAAGGCGGTCAGGTTGTCACCAAGGAGCCATCGCCACCGGAGGCCGGGAAGGTGACAGAGCAGGCGGCCGTTGCGACCGATAAGATAGGGCGGGCGCCCGTGTGATTTCCGGAGTTTATGCGATCGTCTCCCAACCAGGGGCGGCCAAGCGCCTAAAGTGACGCAACCACGGCGTTTAGGCGGGACCAAACCAGCTACCAGTCACACGAGCGTTCTTAACAACCAGGAGTATCAGTAAATCACCGAGCACCAGTCCATCACATCACCTTGGAGGCTCGCCGATACAAAGTCTAAAGTTATTGCCATGCATTAATACCGAAACAAGAATCGTTACAGTGGGACGTGGTCCCAGATGAGCCAATTTGTCTACACTCGACACCCCAAGTGATGACCCGTATTGCCTGTCAAAGCCGCCATTTTCCAACACAGCCACGTGCCCGACGTCGCGGTGAACCAAATCCGATCGCAGACTTATCTGCGTGCGAAGCAGCACATGATACCAGTCTTGCCCAAGAACCACAGGAAGCCAAAGAACCGAACAAGCGACAGCACCGCCGTAGCGTACAGCAGGAACTTGAAGAAGTTGGCCGTACGGACCGACGCCGATTTCTGTAATACATGTTAGCTGCCGTTTCGTTGAGTTGTACGACGCTGTTCGGGGGCCACTTACGCCGATGCCAAACGAGTTGAAGTTGTCGCTAGTAATGACAATGACCAGAAGAATGTTGGAGAACAGCCACGACACGACCAGGCCGGTTCTGAAAGACTTGTACGAGTCCTCGACGTCCTTCTTCTCCACTTCCTCCTCCTCCTTGAAGGGGGCGAGGGCACGGCGCACCGTCTGCTCGAACTGGCTGTCAATGTCTTCCTGCTCCTTTTCGATTTCCTCCACGACCACTTCGTTCTTTTCGCCCTTGGTTATATTCGCGGACGGTAGAGCTTCGGCCTTGTCGGATCCCTTGGTGCCCCATGAGACGTCGTGCCAGTTGTTGAAGGCGTACACCATGAGAATGTTGATGTACGTCGACATAAGCAGGAGGTAGTAGGGGAAGGAGTGGAACATGTGCCACGGGTCCAGGTACAGGAACGATGCCAGGAAGTACAATCCGTAGATGGTGATGAGGGCAATGATGATGACGCCGGCCGCACCGGATCCCGAAAAGAAACTCTTGACAAAGTCCGCTCCCGAGTCAAGCTTGATCTGGTCCTCGATGGGCGTGTCAAAGGCTCGCGCGACGAGGTAAGCGGAGAGCACGAGAATGTAACCCTGGACCAAGCCGAAGAGCATGAAGGAGGCAATGTAGGTGAACTTGGATCCCTTCGGACGATTACCCAGAGCCAGGATGAACTGGAGAATGACAAAGGCCAGGTAGAGGTACTTGAGCAGCGCGTTGATGATTGGCGTGGCCGTGTCACCAAATGGCCAGCCGTGGTGCTCGGAGGTGCTGTCCGAGGCGACAACCGGATTGCCGACGAGGTCCATGATGACAGTCGTCGTCAGGTAGTAAGAGGCCAGGGAGAACCAGGAGAAGATCAGGTTGAGGAAGTTGTAGATGAGCTGGATGTGGAAGAAGAACATGCGGATAATGTTGTGACCGCTCTTGTAGATTCGACCAAAGTGCATCAAGGAGTACAGCGAGGCAGCAAAGGAACCGTTGAGCCAACGACGACGCTGGCTGATGAACTCGGCGGCGCCCTCCGGGACATCGGTCTCACCCTTGGCGGCCTTGATGTACGTCAAGTGCCACTTCTGACCGGCCTTGGCGACCAGCTCGAAACACAGAATTCGGTCCTCGGCCAAGAACATGTTCTTTTTGAAAATGTTCATGCCGTCAATGCCCTTCTTGCCCAGGATCTTGGACAGCGTGTGGTCGCCGTGGAAGTACTGCTCCAGCGGCCGGCCCATGATTGCTCTAAATCGATAGGCGGAGAAGGCACCGGGCAACACGCTGACGTAGCCGAACGAGGACTCGAGAGGCTTGTCGAGAATGTTGGAAATCTTGTACTCAAAGTTCTGGACCGCGACGAGGGGGTTGAAGAGCTTCTTGCCGCCCTTACCCAACATGGCGTGAATTTCACCGCAAGCACCTCCCAGGTCCTTGTCGTTGTAGAAGCCCTCCCACAGCGCGAGCAGGGAGCGGGGGCTGGGCTTGGTACCGGCGTCGATGAGGATGGTGACTTCGGGGTTCAGGATGCGGCCAAAGGCGTTGAAGAGCCAGCGGTGCGAGTTGATCTTCTTGCTGTTCTTCTGCTTCAGGCAGAAGATGAACTGGACGGGCGGCAGGTTCTGCGGGCTGTCGCCTGTCGGGCGGATGAGCTGCTGGCCGGGCGTCACGGACAGCTGGCTGGTGTACTCGAAGATGTGGGCCACGGTCTCCTTGCCATCAACGTCCTTCTTGATGACACCGTCTTGGTAGATGCCGACGGTGGCGAGGACGTCGAGAACGTTCTTGTCAGCCTTTTCGATACCGTCAAAGACCAAGCAGACGACAATCTTCTGCCAGGCGGGGCCGCCCTTGTTCCAGAAGGTCGACTTCTTGAGGTTGACAATGTCGCGGATATTCTGCATGACACCGTGGAGAGTTCGCGAGAGCAGGACCTTGTCCTCGTTGTAGTACGTAATGGCGATGAGAAGCTCCGTGTGTCGGTTATACATGCGGGGCCGCAAATCGTAGCCGTTCTTGAGCGTGAACTCGTTGGGGTCGCAGGTGGCAGCCGTGTAGCGCATCTTCATAAACTCCTCGTTGCCGCCTTCGACGTCGCGGTACTGAGGCTGTACCGCGTTCTTGATGGCGCTGGGCACGGGATAATCGATACTGAGGACGGAGCCCTGAACGAGCTTGACCTTGCGGGTATTGTAGCGCTTCAGGCCGCCGCCCTGGCCGAAGCCGGCGGGCTGCTGTTGCCGCTGCATCCAGCTGTCTTCCTCATCGTTGAAGGTCGAGGCCGGGCGGTCGTAGGGGTAGCCGTCCTGCGGGAACTGACCGTACGCGTGCTCGCCCAACGCGCCCGAGCCGGCTCCGGGATGCTGCGCAGCTCCCGGGGCATACGACTCAGTGAGGCTGTACGCGGAGACGGGGCGGTCAGGGGGCGTGCCGGCGCCGAGACGGTCGTGCTCGTAACCCATTGAAGGGGGCTCATTAAGCAGGTAGCGGCCGGCGTCGTCGTCGTGCTCCTGAGGCGGCATGTGATACTGCACAGAGGGTGTCCCGCGTTAGCGACATGGTTTTGAGCTTGCAACCGTTGCGCCCACCGGGCCGTTGCGGGCGCGTTGCTAGGCGGGGAGGGGAATGAGGGAACAACTCACGTTTCCGCCAGGAGGTAGGTCCTGCATTGGGTGTCCTCCACTTCCGTACTCGTGGCCTTGGCCCTGGCCGCCGTGGCCTTGGTACGCCATGATGGTGAGATGTGATGCTCTCTCGAGCTATGGGATGCAATCGCGAGCGGGCGTGCGTGCGAGCGGTTCGATAGCAATGCTCGACTGGGACGCGCGGTGTCGTCGATGATGCGGAGGCTGGGGTGGTGGGTTTTTTTGGCCTTTCTCGCTTGCGTGCAACGGCGGCGTGGTACCCCGTGCAGGGTCAGAAAAAAACTGGCAGGAGCTCTGAAATGCCGCCCGAGCGTCCAAACTCGGGATACCTATGCCTCTGGGGTGCGGTGCCTGACGATGATGACGAGGGATAAACCAGCCTCGAAGCGAACGGCACCCGCGGGTTCTAGAAGAAGGCGGACGGACGAGGGAAAAGGGGGCCGCGACGGAGAGGGCGAGAGTGATGATGCGGCTGGGCTTGGGTTTTGAGGGATGCAAAATGAAATAAAGAACAGGACGGGAACACGAGGAGGGACGGCGGCTCAGGGGAGTGACAGTCGCTGAGGACGGTATATTTCACGGCGATCCCAGGTAGGCCTTGTAGGCCTTGTTTCACAGCTCCCCCAAGCAAGGCCGCCGCAGCCACTCTCGAGCTTTTCGCCCTCGCTCAAAATAGGGGACTGGCGCTAGCGCGAGCTGAGCCACTGGCAGCCCAGCAGCAGCCTGTGGCCGCTGGGGCTCTCGCTGGGGCCCCATCCATCGCCCTGTCCCCTCCCGCCCACACGGCTCCACCCCCCTGTGCTGCGCGGGTGCTTGGTCATGTTGGTGCGCTCTCTCATGTCTCGCTCCTTGCCAGCCTTCCATCCTTCCTGGCCGCCTGAGCTGGCAGTGGTTCTGGCCGAGCCACCACCACCACCACCACCACCTCAGCGACAGCGTGAGGCGGCGTGACGACGTCAGATGCTCCTGCAGCCTCAAACCCTTGCCGCCCTTGCTTCCCTCTGGTTGGCACGCCCGAGTACCGGCCAGTCGCTGCAAGGTGTGCGCACGGGACAACCTCTACGGATGCGATCGGCGACAACGCTCTGTTGTTTTTTCCGCCATCTCATAAACGGTGCATGTCATCAGTTATTCGTGTTTATTACTCTTGGATTCTCCCGCCAGCCCCTCTCCTGTCGACGCGTGGGCCTTCACTTTCCCAGGTGCTGGCGGAACAGCCGCCGGCGCGGGCATCCCCGTCTCAGCCCAGCGTCAGCTGGCGCACGTCAGCCTTGCAAGCCGCCTGGAGCAAGCCCGTCAGTCGGTGTGGCTAGCACCCTGGGTAGCAGCCGGTCATGTCATCCACGGCGTCGCTCGGATAACGCAGAGCCGAAATTTCTGCTCAGCGGATTCCTCACGGCGCCGGTGCTGACGCGGACCGCGCCCTCGGCCATCTGCGGAGGATGGACTCGTACTCTGTACGACGCAGTCAGGCACACGGGTACGGGTACTTTTACGTGGACCTCTGAGGTGCTTAACCAACGCGTCCCACCAGCCCGCGAGCCAAGGTACATGTGGAGATGCCCAACTGGCACCGCCGAGCACGTGTCTTTCGTACGTACATTTTAACTTGGATGTTACTTACGAGCAAGGGAATGAGGCTGCCACGGGCGGGCCGAATTGACTTGCAGGCTCGCTCGGCCGTATGTACACTGCACTCGAGGTGGCAATTGATGGCCCATGCCCGCTGTCCGATCGGAGAGCTGCATGCGGCAACACGAAGTCGACCAACTTGGCGTCGATGCCGCTCTCTACCTTTCGTGTGTATCACTCAGTGCAGTGTGTGCTGTGGTCTGGGGGGAACACACATGGCTGCGCCGCCGGGCCCACCGCCGGCCGGCCTGGCCACTGCCGCAACGCCGCCAAAAATAGCTCGCGGCTGCGGAGGCATGCATTCCCTGTGAGGGCCTGATGAGGTGAGTTGTGAGTGGAGTGGAGAGGCTGGTGTGCTGCCCATCCAATGCCATCCAATCCTGGCGGAGGCGGTGCACCACGAGTCGTGTCCTTCTGCCCAGCGGCCGAGATCCAACGTTGCGAGAGGCTGTCGCGTGAGCCACAGTTGGCGATCCGGCGAGATCTGGCCGTCGTCCCGAGTGCCTGTGCTCCAGATATACGTATGTACGTACGGCCAGAATTGCACGTTGCATCCGACTCGCTGCCCTACATCGCCAGTTGAGCGGGCTCGTTTCTGGGGATGCTGCGCAACGACGTAGTGCTCGGCCAAGCCATCGGCATCAAAGACCTACCCGGGATGGCCCGGCATATGGACAGTCCTGGCATCATTTGATCAGCTCCGTTGGGCACTGCTGCGTGGGCCGCATGCAACTTTGTGTTGATTGACGTGCTCAGGATCAACATGGGCAATGCAGCGTCGGATAGAGCAGCTCATATTGCCCTTGGATCACCAGGCCCTTGAACACCAGCCACATTGCCGCCCACGAAGTCGCAAGGAGAGCGCAAGGGGACTACGCGATGCATGGAGTCATCACTGTGCATTGCGCTGCCCTTCCCCTCCTGCCCCGTCCAAATCGGCATCGACACAAGCTTCGCCCACGCTCCGGGGCCACGGTCCGGCGCCAAGAGATCCGATACCCGTTCATGCCGTCCGCTCCGGGTAAGGCGCTGGCTACTGCACCTTGTGATGGGGTAGCGAACGCGCATGCTCGCATTTCTGCTCGTACACACCATGACACCCTCGCCTCGCTGGCCCTGCTCGTATTTGTATTCACACTTGACTCTGTCGACCGTCCCTTGCTGTGGCCAGGTTTCAAAGCGCCACCCCTCCGGCGATGGCAAGAGACATGTGACGTGCGCGGTGGCGACGGTCTCCTGATCAGAAAACGAAACGCCTCCGTCGCTGCTCGCCATGCCGTGGAGTTCGATGCAGCCAGAGAGGTCTGCGCGGTGCCGTAGTCTCCAATCTGGCCGGCCATCAAGCAGCAATAAGGCAATGAATGACGCCCAAGTCATCGTCGCCGCTGTCGCTTTCAGGCGAAGCCCAGCGGGCAGACGACGCTTCCAATCAAGGGTGCGCGTCGGGCCCGCCGTGCGACGCTCTGTTTGGCTGAGCCCTCCCCCGCCGGGACCCACGCGCCACTGTCACAGCAAAATTACTGTGTCCTGCACTGGGCCAGGTCCTGGACGGCACTGGCTGCGACGACGGGCTCTTGGGACCCCATCCCCCCTGTGCCGACGTCGAGCCGTCGAAACATTGCGCAGGTTGGCGTGGGAAAACGGCAAATGCAGATGGATTGCCTCGCCGTGTGCGATGCCATCCATGGCCTGCGTCCCCATTCGCCAGAACCCTAAATTGCCCTCGTCCCGTCGTCGGCGTGGCGGGATGGAAGCCTCACAGAACAGCCACTGGATTCGACGATCGCCGTGAAACCTGATTCCGCTCCCGCGTCGGTGCTGCACAGACTGGTTGGCGTCTGCTGGAGGGTCGGATCTGCCGATTTCGATGCGAGGCCGGGCCTTCTCGCTGCTCTGTGCCCTCTCAGCCGTCAGCCTGCCCACTGCATCTTGGGCCAGAGTGCCCCGGATGAGGCAGCTCATCCGTGCTTGGCGTGGCGGCCTTGCTGGAATGCTTCCATCGCGTCACCGACAATGGGACAAGTCTGCGCCATTTGGCCCGATTGACGCGAGCAAGCCCGCGTGCCAGCTGCGACTCGCCGCGTCGGCCCAGGCCACGTCGGAATGCCCTGCTGGGCGACTCTCTCTCGCTCTCTTTGCTGCGCAAGGATGGGGTTGCCTCGTCATGCAGGAGGCGATGGCTGACCTGCATGTCCAGCATCTTGTCCAGCAGCTCGTCCGTGCACGCGGGGCGACTCCCGCACTGTGTGTCGATGGGCCCCGTCCAAGGCCCCGTCCAAGGCCCCGTCCAACGCTAGCCGTCGCACGAGTGGCAGCCACCAGCGTGCACCAGGCGCTGTGCCCCTCTGTTCCTGGCCCTCCCGGGGTCCTCGGCTGTCCCTGGAGGGTCGCTCGGCGGCGCGCAGCCAAGCGGGCCAGGGGCTGCGCCGCGTTCGCAATGCACTGTGCAGACGTCTTTAATTGCCTCGCTAGCCCCAGCCAGCTCTAGCGCCCCTTGCCCCTGGCGCCGTCGCCGCCGTTCCACCAGCCCACGCCAGGCCAACCGTCGCTCCCCTCCCATCCCATCCTCTCCCCCCCTTGAGTTGCTGGCGCCATTCGTCTCCGCTCCGTGGTGAGACCTGCGCCGACCCTCTTTGCTTCGTTTCGTCCGCTCCCTCCTCCACCTTTGCACTTCCATCGACAGCGACCATCACCCGCCGACCGACGACGCTCCATCGCAAGCAGCATCATCGCCGCCAAGCGTCGAACCGTTTCCTCGGGCTCAACTATCCTTGCTTCGATTCACAGTCGCCAGGCCGATATGTCTTTCTCTTCCGTGATTTAGTATCATTATCATACCGCCGGTCGTTCAACCCCGAGAGCTAGCCTCACAGTCCAATCGTTTCAACGCCTTCTTTATTCCTCGACATCGGCGACTGCCTCCTCACGCCTTGCACCCGGTACACGAGCATCTTTATAAGCATTCATAGCCCATAGAACGACTCCGTCCGGGCAGCACTGGGCGACGACGTTTGCCGCCTTTCTCCGCCGAGCCCGAATCGCGACGCACCCCAAGCGACAGGACCTCCTTTGCACCCGCCGCTATCGCGACAACAGCTTCTCAAGATGGAGGTAGAAGGGCAAATGTTTGCGAGGAATCTGGTCGAGCTGAGCGAAGGTAAGTGACGGGTCGTCGCTAGGACCCAGTAGAGGATCAAGCACTGACCGTATCATTCAGCGCTGAAGCACGTTCCTTCAAAGAGAGGATGTGTGCAATGCGATGGCAACGCAAAGCTCCAGTGTCCATCATGCCCCTCAGGCCAGAGCTGCCAGTTCTCGGTCCCTACAGACTGCACACAATGCCCGGCGGCTGTCTGCCTGCCTAACGACACGACGCCTCCGCCGAGCAACAACGGCGGGAAATCTGGCGGCGACAGCGGACCCAACGTCGGCCCTATCGCCGGAGGTGTCGTCGGCGGTGTTGCCGCAATCGCCATTCTGACGTACCTAGTCTGGAGGTTCCTCATCAGACCGAAGAGATCAAGCGTCACTCAGTCGATCTACGAGCCTTCGGGCAACTCAGCTCGCGACATCGAGAAGGACAACGCTTCGCGAATCACGCATCGCTCCTCTACCCACACAGTTCATTCCATCGCCTCTACCGTCCTGACGCGAGCGTCCAACATCATCCAGATTGCATACATCCCCGGTGTCACCAACCGAGCAACGCCGACGTCGCCGACCGTTCTCGTGCCTCCCGTCCCGCCGATCCCGATGCACCACTCCGACGCGAACCGTGCGTCCAATCAGGACGATCAGCACTTCTTCGTCCCCGGCAACCTGCGAGACTCAACGTATTCTGGCATCTCCGAGTTCTCGGACCGCACTTCGTACGCGCCGCGCTCCAGCATCGCGTCGACAATCTACGGCAAGCAGGCACAGATCCAGACTCCCGCGCAGACCGGCATGCGTGCCAAGCCTACCGTCGTCAGCGTGAAGTCGGGCAATGCCAGCGGGGCCAACACACCCCCCGTTCCCAGCATCGACTTTGAGAGGTTCGGTGCCGGAAGGCCACAGAGCAACGCCAGCGTCTTCAGCGTCGGCTCGACGTTCGTCAACAATGCGAATACGGCCACGCAAGCAAGGGCACAGGTGGTGAAGCTGGGCGGTGGCCTGAAGAAGATTGATGTCGGGGCCAAGCCGGAGGCCAGCGTCTCGTCCACATCACTGGCGTCGACGTCGTCGCCGGCCCCGTCTGCGAAGAACGCAACAGGGGAGCCTCACACGGCAACTGTCAGCGATGCGTCGCCTACCGGTGATCTTGGTCCTTTCTCTGACCCTCCGGCTACGCCCAAGACTGTCAATGTCCCGAAACTCGTTGCGGTCATGGAGGATGATGAGGAGCCCGCTCGATCTGGCAGCCGGACGTCGAAACGATCTCCTTCGGCTGAAAGGGGACGTAGCCCTTTTGGTGACGAGCATGCCACAAAGGAATGATGCACGCTTTCATTTACGTCCCATTCTCGTGGATGGTACCGTGAAACAGACATGGGCCAGATCGGCCCGTCTGCATGGACCGACCACTCTTCTTTTTTGAATATCCTCTTCAGCGGCGGGATACTTGACTACTAGGGTTTTGGCGTCTTTTGGATCAAGGGCGACGGAACGATATCAAAGTCCGATTTGGTGGGCGGTATACTTACCACACAGCAGATATTTCTCAGTATCATGAACTTGAATAGAACTCATGGGTCTACTCGGCGCAGTCCCCTTGTCGATGTTACCATGACACCGTGAATGCATGAGCCAATGCATCGCGGCATCGTGCAATTGCGTGCCGCAGAGCACGGTTCGGATAGTGACGGCGATTCATGGCCACAGCGTCCCACGAGCTGCCACCTCGGCTTGGCCGTCAATTTGTCGTGGCTAGCGAAAGGCAGGCAGGCATACACAAACGAATGTTTCCGTAACGTAACGGCAGCCGCGCTGCCCAGGTGCCTCGAGCGTCGGACGAGCCGCCTGCAAGAAGCCTCGGATCGTGCACACAACGCCGGCTGTTGGTCACAACAGCTGGCGCGGCCGGGCCCTCCGAACGCACGTGTGTGAGGTGTTTTTTTTCTCTTCTGTTCTCTTCCTCGCCGTCTTGACCAGCGGGGGGAGGGGGGGAGCAGATGGACTTTTTTGCGCGGGCGGGGGAGGGACAGACAGCAGCACAAAACGGCGTGACGCCATGCCTACATACGAGGACATTTTACGGTTCGATACCGTATGTGACTGGCCGGAGTGCGAGGGGGAGCTGCAGTGGGCTTGCATTTCACGTGGGAGGGTGGAGAGGAAGGGGGGCGACGGGGGAGGTGGGCTTTGTGGCGGAACTCGAAACCTCGCTTTTGAGAATCATGGGGAGGGAACTTGCCGGTGAGGGAGGCAGGCAGGCAAGCAAACAGGCAGGGAAGTTGGCTGCTGGTTCGGCCCAACTGCATAGGAAGTAAGTAATAGTTCTGGACTTGCTTGCATGTTACGTGGTGCGTGGCGTGGGCTCTGGTCTTTGATATCCAAGCGCGGGCTCTTAGCTGGCTGGCTGGCTGGCGATTGTGGGAGTTGCTGCTTGATACACACAAGACAAAGACTACAGGCGTCATCAACTGGTAGAGCGGCTATCTACACGCACGTACATCCGGTAGCCCTGTGAACTACTACGTATGCTATACAACGTGCCGGGCAGTCTACAACGCAGAGGCGCCTAGGGCCAGAAGCTCAACTCGAGGCCGGCCCGCACCGGCCAAAATAAGGTCCATCCGCCGTCGGCAACGCCATCAGCTATAACGCCATCGCCAAAAGGCCCCATGGCTGTTTCTTGTCTTTTCCATAACTCCGCAGCTCTTGCTTAGTTTACCTGCACGTCTTTGCTGGAGCGCGCTGCCCCCCCACCGGTTCTGCCGCCACGGAACCCCCAGCGCGGCTATCCCGGCTGCTTCGCTTCGCCTTTTGCCGGATGGACCATGCTACGTATTAACTAGTTAGTAGCGACAAGCGCCCACGGAAGCACCCACGTAGCTAGCCTCCGGGAGATATAGTCCCAAGCTGGTAAGTAGCGGAGCGAGCTCGCTTATTTTCCTTAGCATGGACAATGAAGCGACGAGCATGAGACGTCAATGGTGCATGCGGAGCACTAGGTAGTTAGATAGGTAGGCACACACGTCAGCGGTGTGTACATGCAGTTCCGCGGTAGCATCAACGTCGTGAGTTCACTCCAAGTTACCTACCTACCTTGGGTATGCCATATGGCCGTCGTCGTCTTTGAGGCCTGGCTCGTAAGCCGTCTCTCCACCCCCTTGGCCCCCCCCCCCCGGGGGCGCGCGTCCGGGTCGCCATCGCGTCCGCGCCTCCCGGCCGGGAAGCGCAGACCAGGGGAGGGAACCGGCGGAGGTTCCTCCTCGGACGGCGGGGAGGGGGCAGGGCAGGGCAGGCAGGGGGGCCTGCCTGGCCGAGGATGAGCGGAAAAGGCCTCGTTGGCGATGAGCGTCTGCGCGATGATGGCGCAAGAGCTGGCGCGCGCTGGTCGGGGCTCGTGCTTTTCCTTACCCTGTGTGTCTCTCGTTCACTGGGCCTCGGTGACGGATGCTGCACAGCCGTCACATTACAGCCGTTACAGTACAACGATGCAACTAACTTACATCACAGATCGAATTGTGTCTCTGTGATAGCGTGCATTTTACAGCATGAGCATTCGCACAGAGGGACGTAACGAGTCCGCGCGATGTGGACAGACAGAGAGAGAGAGGGAGACCAAGGGCTCGTGAGGCCAGGGTCAGGGTTCATCCGAACTCCTTGTACTTTTTTCCCCTCGTTCTTCCCCCTCCATCCCTGCAACGGTCGCATGTTCTCAAACCGCCTTCCAAACCCTCCCTCCCATCCTGGTGCCTGTAAGAATTAAGAGGGGTAATATATGGGTTTGTTTCTGGAATTGCAGGAGAGTGCTGCACACAGCGATTCTGCCCAACGCGCTTTGTCGGGCGGAAGAGAGTTCGGCGGCCGACAGTTGGTGATGGGCAAAGATCCGGCAACCGAAAAAAGATGACGGAGGAAAAAAAAAATTGACGAGTGGCCCTTCTGTATTGACTGACTGACCAACTGAGTTGCCGCTCCAATGAACAACGCGAATATGTGCCGATGTGCCGGCCGCGTGGTGCCGCGGCGGGTGATTCTGTGATAGTACGACTTGTCCATGCATGGGTAGGTGAGATAGGCAAGGTTCGCAGAATCAATGCAGGAGAATGAACGCCTCGAGGCCGGGTAAGTTTTCCCCTACCAGTAAACGTGCAGTCCAGGACGCGGTTGGTCATTCCCTCACAGTAAAATCGTACGTTTGATGCTTAGAACCAGGAGCACGAAACCGCAGCCCAGGGCCATAACCAGAATCCCAAGGATCATTTTGCAACCTTGCCAACGGCTTCCCACCCCCACTGCAACGGGCAGTTAGTTGATTCAAGTGCCGACGTCGCAGCAAGCGGGGTAACAAATGAACCAGAGAGAGTGCGCGCGCACACGCAACAAGAGAGAAAAACGGACAGCCGGCAAAGAGAGACAGAGTGGGGGAAATGTTGGCGGAAACCTGCCTGTTCCCCCCGGTACCATTACTGTGCTGTACCGCATGGATTGCGGTGCATCCCGTCTTCCCCCGTTCATGCTTCCTCGCCGTGATTACCGCTTTCACGCTGCATCTGCTAACGGGTCGTTCCGTTACGGGCTCCTCCTCGCCTGATCTGGGTTGCTTGCCCGGGCGAGGCTGCGAGCCGGCTTGACTACGAAGTGCCAGGCAAACTTGCGCATTATTAGAGGCTGTGGTGGTGGCGGCGGCGGCGGCGGCGGCGTATTCCTCGCTTGTCTCGCCGAATGATATCAATCCTCGCCATCTGATAATGAAGCGCACATTAATATGGGAGCCTCTGTACGGGGAGTACCTCGTACCTACAATCCACATGGCAATATCTGCTGGGCAGGGTGTTACTGTACTTGGCACTGCATGATACCGTACCTCAGCGACAGCATTGAGAAGAGTCTGGCCACGTCTCCGCGACGCTCCCCTTCTGCCGCCCTCGTCGCCAACAGCACCACCCCGGCCGGCCGCCGGACCGTTAGGGTTGCCCGGGGTGCGTGTCCGACCTCCCAGAAGTCTCCGTTGGCGCACGCCGCCGTTTTGGGGCCCCGGGGGAGGGAAGCAGGGTTGGTTGGTGGCTTGCTTGGCCTCCGGGGGG